ATGAAAATGCAGTACTAAAATTTCTCGTCGTGCAATTGCTTTGTTTCCGTGTTTTGCCAAAAATGAAAGTAAATAAATTTGACCACTGTGTAAAATATTCATTTTCCTCGTAATATAGCTGCTCTTTTAGCAAAAGGAGTTTAAAGAAAATATCATCGGGAGCGGCAACTTTTAACGAAACGGCGCCGCTTAACCACGCTTAAAACTTTGAAGTATGTAAATAGTTGCTAGAAAATTTCAGGCGAGAAAAAATTAAGGTTCAAAACATTAGCTCAGTTTCCATTTTCCATATAATTTCTTTCAACAAACAAAACTAACTTCAAGTATTTTCTTCTGATAAACGTTTTTTGCTTTGGTGTTAAATAACTGGTTTGCTATAAACTGACTTTTTTGCACAGTGAGGAAAAACGCCAAATGTTACTTATGTTTTGAAGTGTTTTTAACTACTTTATGTTTGCCTCGTCGTCTTAAAAATACCGCTAAGTAAATGTTAAATAGTTTCTTCGAATTATTTGAGCACAAAGCTAAGAGGAATATGATGTTTTTGTAATGAAAAATAGGTAAACAAGTCTTACCTCTTACTTTCCCGCCACGCGCGAAGTCGGGTGGTTATAAATGAGCGTACTTGTCTTGTTTACAATTCTTTCGCTTCCACTGAAAATTTCTGAAAAGAAAACAATTAAAATTCATTTAACAACTATTGCGTTCATTAAATTTCTAAAATGTGAAAAAACAACTTCATGGTGCGACGAAATAATGGGTTTCTTGTCACACGTTTACCTTTGAATTGCAACTTAACAAGAACTTTGCAAAGTTAAGTCACTAACCTTTTAAGAATTTTCTTTCTTTTAAAAATCTTCTTGAGTGGTCTTTAGGTTTTTCCTTAGGATTTTCCTTCTTCCAGAAATTAAACTGGTGGACAAAACAAGCTATAAAGCCCGCTTTCTCTCCCTTATGCTCGCAAGTTTTCGTAACATGTCGTTTCTTCACACTTTTTTTATCCGAGTGGCAAGAAGCTCTCGGAAAAAAGTTTGAGCTAGGCGCGAAGGCAACCACGTGATTAGTTTGCTCAATTTTGACTGGTTTCTTGTGTCTTTTTTGGCAGATGTCAATCAGTTAACAAACAAGGATAAAAGCTTTTAGGCCACGGTTTTGTAAAAGAAACACCGCGTTCACCTAATACAAACTACCCGCAAATGTTTTTGAAAAGACTGCTGAAAGACCGTGGATCATTTTCGCTCTAAGGAACTAGGATGGAGATTTTTTCTCAAGGATTATCGTGTTTTAAAAACAATAGAGGCTTAATGAGTTGTTTCAAATGCACGTACTAAAAAAAACTTATGTACATTTCGCTGGCGTCTTCTGCAAAACAACATGGCATTAAAAATTAAATTTCGACCAAAAATAATGACTTATGTTAAACGGATAATTCCGTTTCTAAGCTGTTAGGGTCAATTAAACTTCAAAACATCTCGCTGCTCCCTCTTTTAACATTGCTTTTTATAAAAGAGTCTTGGCAAGTTACTAAATTCCATTCTTCCCCATCCCCGATAGGAATTTTTAGGGAGCGATGGTAAAGGAGCCTGAGTATTACACAATTCAGAAGAGAAAACAACATCTTTTTCAGGTACTAACTTTGGCGAGAAAAGGCGAATGTCTACGTGCATCTCAGTTTAAAAAAAGTTTCGCGACTTAATTTTTATCCCCTCAGCCAGTTAACTGAGTGAAGAGTGGGGTGGGGTAGGGTTAGTCGAGGACTAGACTGTACGTGGGTGATTTTAAGCTTCACTCAGCCATTGCAAGATGTATTTGTATTGCGCTCTACGATTTCTGAGGAGAAATACGGTCTGTGAACTGACTAGGTAAAAATTAGCGGCTATGTTGCGGGGGCGGGGGGCTGAACTGAGGGATATATAAATTTAGAGTTTTCCACCCATCCAACCCCCTTCATCTAATAGAGACACTTGCTGCACGTTATACGAAAGTTTTATTTCAGAAATGGTTTCGTTACAAATTTGGACCAAACGAAGGCTCATTTCCTTCAAATCGCGATGTCGTTAAATAATGTCTATTTCGCAGACTGTAGCTAATATCCAAGGAACAACATTCGACAAACAATGAAGCTAAATATTTTCAATGGAACTTCTCAACTCGATAGTATAAAAGAAACGGATCCGTGTTTACTCGCCAATCCTGATATTACAGCACTGCTCACAGCATTCTGCATGCTGTACAAACATACTAAACACATAGTTCAGCTGCTGTAATTGTCTGTCCACATCATCGACTTGTTCCTGCAGTCGCTTGTTGGCGTGCTCAAGACTTTGAAAGCGTTCCCTTCTGTTGAAAAATATAGAATCGATTAACACGTAGTAAATAAGCTAAATAAAGCTATAATAATCTCAAGTCAATTTCATTCCACTTTAGCGGCAAATATTAGTTTTCGCCAATTTCCAAGGGAAATTTATTCTTTAGAGTTTAGTTTATTCTATATCAACGACGTTCACAGTTTGGAATACATTGTGATATATTTCGTCGTGAATTACTTTTTAAAAAGTTCAAAGGTTACTCCTGAAAACATCGAAAATGACGTGTGCTCTTACGAAATCGATCGCAAAACTTGAAGCTCAAAAAAAGCACTTGGCGGCTTTTTAGGTTTTCGCAGAAAGCAACGAGATAATTTTCAGATTTTTAGTGCATTTTTCTCTGTTAAATTTTTTTTCAGTAGTGGACCAAACCTGCTATCTACCATAGCAGCGAAATCAGCCTTGTTCATTTCCATCACATCAATGACCAAGTAAGACTTACCTTCTTTTGCGGTATTTTCGACTGCTCTCCACGTTTCGAGCTCTTCGTTTCCCATCCGTTTTATACAATCTCCCTTCGTTCAAAGGTGTCTTTGTCGTCGACCAAGTTGCCAGAGGAAGCGGTGCCTGAATGTGTGAAGAAGAAGAGGTCACAACGCCCTGTCGACATTAACAAAAAATACTGAAAGGTTTAGTGCCTTTATACTTGACTGTAGCTCAACACTTAAGAATTTTTAGTGTTTGAGAATACCTCGTGATGTTCGGCCACTTTAAGACTGGCTTGTGGTGGACTGGGGTCTGTAAAAATTGTGAAATTCATCTTCAGTCAACAGGGTACTTACAGCTAGAATAGTACTTAGTACAACTGTAGTATGAGGTTTTCTCGTCCCAGTCTCTTTCTTAATGTCCGCGCTTTTCTGATAAACATACTTCCTTGGAAATTCGGGGAAACTCCTCTTGAAAATTATGGTCTCTTGAAAGTAGCAAGAACTCAAACTGGCTAGGAAAGGTATTCTTCTCTCACCTCCAAACAAACTACATTTCCTCCCAAAATAAGAGGGCTTGCTTATAAACCTTTTCAGTGACCTACCTACATTCCCTTGGATTATCCCCTGTGCCCTCATCCATACACAGGGAGATCCTGTATTTAGACTACCTGATGATGCAGGACATGAAACTGATACCTCCCCCCACTTCCTCTGTTAACTAAACAGGCTGATTTATTCCCTGTATCAAATACCTGTCAACACAAAGCAAAGATATATTGTGCACTTAGGCTCTGTCTAGCCCAACAATGTTCCCAAGGTCCTTACATCTCTGCCTTTTTGATAATGAGCTAGAAGGAGAGAGAAAGCCTGTGGCAACAAGGTTGCTTACATTCATATCATTCTTTCAAAAAAGTGTGTTGAATCCAGTAATTCAATTAAACCCTGAATTACTTGTAATAAATTTACATCTATTAGGTCAGAAATTTAACATGATATAATTGAAAGGGCGCATAGAAGGAGGCCCAAAAAGGTGAAGCGTGTTTTGTCAATCTCAGGGTCAGGGGTAGCCTGAATTTCATCCGATTACTTCGAGTCGTTATTACTCGTTGAGAGGAGAAAACGACTCAAAGCAATCGGATGAATTTCAGGCTAGGTCAGGGGCGGATCCAGGATTTCTTTTAGGAGGGGGTGCACTCGTCTGTTGCTCTACTTCAACACCAATAAACCACATAGTTTTTTTTTGGCAAAATACCAGCTGTATTAGAAAACCGCAGGTCATCTCAGGGCTCAGGGGGGGTGCACCCCTGCACCCTCCCCCTAGATCCGCCCCTGAGGGTGGACATGATAATTAATCATTATGAATAAACAAAATATTATTACAAAAACCAGACATCTGCATGGCAAGGTGATGAACAACTTATCATTGAAATCAAAGCATGTCCTAGACAGAAGCAGATCTGGCAGGGAGTTAACTCCTTATCAGTCAATCCCCTGTTGAGCAATCACCCTCTATTTAGTGGCCAGTAAAGATAGTCTTTGCTGACTGTTAGTAGGTTACCATAAAAAGATCCTTTCGTAGGTGGCTACATATTTCTTCCTCGAGGGTGACTACTGAAAAGAGGTTTAGCTGTATTTGCTTACACTCCTTAAACAGGGAATTGTTTCATGTAAGCCATGGGTTCAAAAATTAACTTTTTAATTTGTCCATCAGGTAAGGCCTTGAACAGAATTTTCATTAAACAGATAGAAAAACCAGCAAGACACAACATCAAAATGACTTGCACAATAGTACCTACTAATGACTAGGCTTGTAATCCTGTTAATCACCGCTCAGTTTAAGGGGATTGGCAACCATCTGATTACAGTTTTGGACACTGTAAGGCAGTCTGTCCAAGAAAGTTAAGAGTAGCAGAACTCAATACCCAAGTACAACATAATTACTAAAAATTGAGTAAAATTCCTTTATTTAAAATCAAGAACATTACAAATATGTAACATTGCATGAAAATTTTATAACTAAAGTAGAACCCTGTTAACTTGAACTCTTAAGGGAAACGAAAAACAGTTCAAGTTAGCGGGAAATTTGAGTTATTGGGGTAAATGTCAATGAAATTTTGATCAAGGGTAAGGAAATTTTGTTTGAGTTAACAGGGAATTCAAGTTATCCAAGGCTCCACTGTAATCTGATATTTTCTTTTTGAATGTAGTCTTAGGACGCTTTCCATTTGTCAGAACTGGTTGGCCAGACCACTGCCAGACCAGTTAATTTGACAATGAAATCGGCTTTTTCCAAGGGTTTTGCTGAAAAACCATCTCCTTCTGGCACACTCTTTAGGATTTGACTGGTCTGGCTGTATAGTTTTGATAAAAAATGAAATTCCCATTACGACGGCAAGTTTCTGGCCATTCAGTTCTGACAAATGGAAAGCGCCCTTAGAGTAGTCACAAACTCCCTCTGAAATGCAAGCTACGTTTAAAGTAAAAAAACAGAATAAAACTAAACTACCAATAAAACAGTCACATTGTTCTAAGCATTTAATAATGACTAAGTCAATCATTATATAATGAAAGACTGTAAAAAAATGTAAAACATCTTCGATAAATATTACTCGTTCGAAATATTTCATCTTTTCTGCTTGGCTCCAATCCCTGGCTAATTCTTCAAACCAGCTTCATGTAGCCCGGTCTATCTTTGGAAGATGTAGACAATAACCACCATTGTACGATGGCACAAATAACCTTGTTTTCAGTCTGTACAGTGGCAGCTTAGCTATCTACGCACAAGTGAACTCAAACTAGTGTCGAAACAGTTCACAGCTACCAAAGAAAAAAAGCTAAATTTCTAACTAAAAGTGAACAGAAGAAATGCAAAATACACCAAAAATAATTATTCCTGGATGGATGTAATCTACCTAGAGGAATAGCTGCAAGAAAAAACATCTTTTTTAATGATGAACCCGTGCCAAGGAACAGGCCAATGTTTTGAAGAAAGTCTCTGGGGAAGAAAGCTTGTTAAAAACTTAGAAAATTTCATATTTTCAATGGATAATAAAACAGCTTTCCTACGATGTGAAAAATTATGCAGATCTTAGAGGCTGTTATCAACAAGGCCAAAACTTCCTCTTCAATCTGTGAAATTCTTCACATCCTGGTCAGGCTCATTCAAATATATTGGATTAATATCTACTAGTGAATTAAGTTTTCCAATGAACGTGAAAACAACTAAATGGACAAATATTAATAACTCACAATACAAAATAAATGAAAGATAAGGTTGTTAACTAAAATCTTAATCCAATGAATTATAACACAATTAGTTTCACAAGACTAATCCGCTGGATAGTAATTTATCAGGTGAATTGTCCTATACAGCGTTTTAACTACCGGGACTGGTAAACAAATACTGGACAAAACCAGATAAATTATAATGAATTAAGAATTGCTCATTCCCTGAAAGACCCTGGTGCAATTTCTTTTAAGAAACTACACTAAAGTTACCCATAAATACCACATGAACAACAATAATATTATTATCCTCAACATGTAATTAACTAAAATACTATTTTAAAAAATGAAAACACCAGAAATGTTTCTGGAGTGCTATGATGCTGCAAGGAAAAAGCCAACAAGGCAGGTAAAACTAAGCTGGAAGCAGCAATGGTCATAAGTTTGGATCACTTTAGGTTTCTGGGAAACTGCCCACCTACCCCTCCCCTAAGCCAACATTAACACTTACTTCTCACTTAGGGCAAAATATTAGTTTAGGAGAGGGGCATGGCAGTTTCCCAGAAACCTAAACTGATCCAGTTATGTGGTTATATGGCCTGCTTCTGTGTCCTCGTCTTCATTGTGATTGGTCACAATGAGCATTCATAAACCCTTTCAGGTGGCCATTTTTATTTTTTTGAGTCACAAGAATAGAGCCTGACAAATTTTAGCTGCAGTTATAACTTAGTTAATAATTATTTATCTTAGTCAGCTCAGGCCAAAAATGGCCACCTAACACCCCTTCCCCTGATTTGAACTCGAAGTGTGACAAATGCAGACTGCGGACTTTCAGACTAGCATGTAAACAAGGTAAACATTGTTGTGAAAAAATCTAACAGATTCCCTATCCCTACCCCTTAAATCTTCTAAAGGCTTGTTTTAGGGATAGGAAATCTGTAAGAGCAGGTCTGCTGTCTGCGTTTGTCATGCACAAAAATTATTTGAACCACGTGTAACTATATGGGAAACATTATAGGAAGCAAACAGATCCTGTTATGAATAGTCTGCTTCTAGAAGATACATGTATTATAATTATGACAAAGTCAAGATTCAGCACTATAGGCCAAGGGACTAGTACATAATTTCCTTAAAAGATCCTGTCCCAAGGAGCAAAAATGTTGAGTTGACTTAATTGTTCTCCTTTTCTTCAAGAGCTTTTCTCTCTTGGCTTTCAGACTTTCTTCTCTGCATTTCTGCAAAAACATCTGCTTCCTTTTTCTCCTTTTTCTTGTTCCTTTCTTCAAATGTCAATCTAAGAGGCACAAACAAATGCCACAGTTTTACTTACAAAAGGTCCAAATGAAAGACATCTCTACAATATTTAAGGTGAGGTAAACCACAAAACAACTATTTTCACATTTTGATAAAGACCAGTTATCAAACATGCAATTATACTGCAAGAAAGAGTGCCTTAAAATTAGCAAACTTACCAAGTTTTCTGAAAGGTGATACATTAAGGGTGAGCGAAGATATTGCTCCAAAAAAGGGCAAGTCTCAAAATTTTACGGATGTTTTAATGGTGGGGGACACGAACTTGACCCCCACCATACAAACATATGTAAAATATGGTGACTTTGCAGAGCTATTGTATATTGTTGTTTGTTTTCAACAAATCACATTTAAACTTGGCATTTTTACTAATTTTAAGGCATTCTTGTTAACTGTGTTGACAGATTTTTGCTAACTGGACCAAGTCAAAAGTTGAATAACCATGGAAGGGTCTATTAGGTGGCTTCAAATTAGCGAGTGGTGGTTGACTGATGACCTCTGGTAAATTTTGCTGAATTTGTGAAAGACCTCACTTTACACAACTCCACATAAAAGGGGGAAATATCTTTTGCATTAGCTGCTAGCAACTAAGTTAACAAAACTGTTAAATGACTTTCTGACTCTCTATGTCTTCTTTGAAATGTCAAAGTATTGAGTCCTAAAATATAAGATGGCAAAACAAGATAAGCACTCTTCTCTGTATTTCAGAACTGCATCAACAGTTCCCTTTATCTTTCAGAAATGCAGACAAACAAGGAAGATGTCTTGTTAAAAACTTTAAAGCTTTAATTAATTTCTTGAATACCACATACAGAAAAAAATGACTATTTTTAGTCTTGCCTTTGTAATGACAGTTATGGCTCTGTAATTTTTCACATTTCTGTCCTTCAATAAATAAATTAAAAAATGCAAAAAGGTACTGTTTTCTATTTTCTTAGGTTATAATAACCCACAACAATCTACATAAATCAGTGGCAGGTCCAGGGGGAATTATGGAGAAAGACCCTAAAAAAATGAGGGCAGACTGACAAACATGTGCTACATGTACATGTAAATTTATACATAATGTAATTTTTATGAGCCTCCTGGGCCCAGTTGTTTGAAGGCCGATTACCGCTTAACCCGGGGTTAAATTTAACCCGGGTTTCTTTTTCCTTTGTTCGAAAGAATTTTCTCGGATAATTTTCTCTGTTATTTTTAGATGTTCCAGTCATCAACTTGCAGACAAAAAGAATTAAAACTGAAATACTTTTTAAGCTTTCAAATCTGAATTCAAATCTCGCACTAGCCCTGGGTTATCTTAACCCAGCTTTGAACAACTCGGCCCTGGTGAATAAATGAGAAGGATGATTTTTCAGTCAGTGATACAGATGGCTCAGAAGAAAAATCCACGTAATCCCAATGTGAGTCGAACCTATGACCTTCTGCCTTCTAGTCCGGATACTCTACCGTTAAGCTATAGGAGACTTCTGGAAGCTAAGGCCACTAAACTAGCTTCATATGACAAACATCTTGAAAACTGCAAGGATTAGTACAAAATGTTGACACGTGCTTACATGCAATGATAGAGATGTAATGTGGTGAATTTTGAACCTGGTAAATACATGAGAAAGATGATTTTTCAGTCAGTGATACAGACGGCTTGGAAAAAAGAATCTGAGTACTCCCAATAGGAGTTGAAACCCATGACCTTCTGGCTTCTAGTCCAGATGCTGTACCACTAAGCTATAGGAGATTCATGGGAGCTGAGGACACTAGACAAACATCCTGCAAACGGCTACGACTACAGACTATAACATAGAAGGTTGATACATGTGGTTACGTGCAATGACAGAGATGTTGTGGTGAATTTTGAACCTGGTAAATACATGAGAAAGATGATTTTTCAGTCAGTGATACAGATGGCTTGGAAGAAAGAATCTGAGTATACTCCCAACAGAAGTTGAAACCCATGGCCTTCTGGCTTCTAGTCCAGATGCTGTACCACTAAGCTATAGGAGACTCATAGGAGCTGAGGACACTAGACAAACATCCTGCAAACAGCTACGACTACAGACTATAACATAGAAGGTTGATACACATGCTTACATGCAATGACAGAGATGTTGTGGTGAGTTTTGAACCTGGTAAATACATGAGAAAGATGATTTTTCAGTCAGTGATACAGACGGCTCGGAAAAAAGAATCTGAGTACTCCCAATAGAAGTTGAAACCCATGACCTTCTGGCTTCTAGTCCAGATGCTGTGCCACTAAGCTATAGGAGACTCATGGGAGCTGAGGACACTAGACAAACATCCTGCAAACAGCTACGAATACAGACTATAACATAGAAGGTTGATACACGTGCTTACATGCAATGACAGAGATGTTGTGGTGAATTTTGAACCTGGTAAATACATGAGGAAGATGATTTTTCAATCAGTGAGACAGACAGCACAGAAGAAAGAATCTGAGTAGGAGTTGAACCTATGACCTTTGGTTACTAGTCCAAATGTTTCAAATAATCTCTCTCACTGTAATATTTCTTTGTTGTACTTTTTTCCAAAAACATAAGGTGTTTGCTTTCGTGACGAATGGCCTTTCAAATAACATATTACAAGAAACATGCTTTCTTATGATAATTATCGAATTGAATTTAGCCAGATTAATTTCTTTGCTATTTCTATCCATTCTGTGATTCATTATTTTATTGCTTTAAGTTTTGATTGAGTTATACTAGTAATCAATATTTTTTTAATCATCTGTAGTATTAAACATTGAAAATCACAATGTGAGAAAATGCAAACACGAATCTATCAACTTTAGTATGTAACCATTCCATTAAAATGTCACAAATTTGCATAAATTCAAAACACTAGTATTCTTAAAATTTCATCTTTAATCTGGTAATTTTGTTACAACATTTGCATGCTTAATCTTGGCCAGAAATTACAAAAGTCCCAGAACCATATCTGTAGAAGTTTAACTTTCCCTGTGGCCGCAGAACCAAACTTATGGGCTACAGTACATGTGGAATTTAGAAGTCACTAGTCAACGTGACTGCCTTGAAGAGCGATTTTGTTTTGTAAGCATGTGGTTTTTGATGGACATTCGGTCCATTGTCACTTGTCGGGATGTTTTGTTACATACATTTTCCACAGATAATACACAGTAAACACGTTGGCAATAGAAAAAAAATGTGTTGAAAAAACAAGGTACACTGAGTGGAACAAACCATTATATAATTTAAATTTTCTCTCTGGAAAAAAATTGTCCTTATAGCACACAGTGTTAAACGTTTATGCTTCGGAATATTGGTACCCAACATTGCCCTTTTTTCGTACAGACTATTCATTGGTAGTAAGCTCATGTCCTCCGAGAGGATTATGTTTATTTAATTATATCTAGCTATTGAACACACCTGTTTTTAATGATCCTCTCAACAATGTCATGAGTTGTTAGATAGTTGCCACTAGGCACAACCTTGAAAATGCCTTTTTTCTTTGGAATTTCATATGGATCTGTACCATCGTCATCAGGCATAACTCTGGTTTCGCCATGGAGGACCACGTCAACCTGAACAGAAAAAAAATCATGAGAAGCTTTGCTCAAGAAAAAAAATCTCAGCAGGCGCCGGAAATTGATGCCCTGGTACGCGATAGAAAGGTGTTTGCTTGGTGTCATAAAATTAATTAAGACCGGAACATAATAAGTAAACCAGACACCGAGTATCCGCGAGAGACGCGTCATTTGAGCGCGAGGCAAGGCGAGGAGCCAGCATCCCACGCAACCGTTTTATTGCGGCGTGACCTTTCTGTTTAAAATGAAAAAGATTTTGATCATTCGAAATGTATCTTAAAAATAAAAGCTCGCGTCATCTACGCCGTGAAAGTAATTTACATGATAAACAAATCCAGATCGGACTGCCGGTGATTGGGACGGGCACGCCAGGGTTAAAAGACATTACGTTAAAGCATTTTATATTTCCTTTGTCACTTTGATAAAATTTTTTGAAGGAGCGACCCGTATTTCATGTGGAAATGTGTGACAAAGCGCCCGCAAAAACTTGTTTCCAGTGCCGCTCAAATGAATGGACGGCAGCGTATATGTCTGATTTTTTTTGTTTTTGAGGGTCAGGCAGCGATCATGCGATGTAACCGAGTTAAATTCTTACTAATTAATTAATATTCTACCTTAAACTTTCAAAGTTCAAAAGCGCTGTGGTTTTGATTTGAAACCATTTGAAGTGAAGGCGACCGTCGGCGGTATGAGTCTTCGTTTCCCATTTCGAGTCTGTCGAGGGTTACAACCCCAAAAAGCATTGGCATGCACTCAAAAAAAATATGTGGAGTCCGGCCGACGGGTTTCTCCAAAAATGAAATATTTAGGAGATTTCCTGACGAAAGACGTGGCAACGCCGGAACTTGAACCCGCCAAATCGGCCTATGCCAAGTGGAATTCAACATGATGCCAGCTACTGTGTACGTCGCTTCCATCGTTCGTTTGATCACTGATGTTCTTCGCCAGTAGAATATCATTCCACCGGATGGCCTTGTAAATTCTGTTACGGACTTAAGTTACATATTAGTGATATTAGACTTGAGGTAAGTTTGTTTTTAGTCAAGTTATTCCCAATACAGTGAGGTATTTCTGTTTTCTGGTCACTTCAATTTAAAGAAATCATTTAGCTTTATTATTCTGTTTCTCTTCGGTAGTCAGTTTATTTATGGGCTTTTGTTATCTAATGGCAAAATCTAATTTTTATCATGCTTATTTTGTACTAACTGGTTTTGTTTCTCTTGGGTAGTCAGTTCATTTATGGGCTGTTGTTATCTGATGACAAAACCTAATTTTTATCATTATTATTTTAAACTAACTGGTACTGTTTCTCTTGAGTAGTCTGATGACAAGACCTAATTTTCATCACAGTTTTCATTTTGTACTAACTGGTTCTGTTTCTCTTGGGTAGTCAGTTCATTTATGGGCTGTTGTTATCTGATGACAGGACCTAATTTTCATCATTTTCATTTTGTACTAACTGGCTCTGTTTCTCTTGGGTAGTCAGTTCATTTATGGGCTATTGTTATCTGATGACAGGACCTAATGTTCCTCACAGTTTTCATTTTGTACTAACTGGTTCTGTTTCTCTTGGGTAGTCAGTTCATTTGTGGACTGTTGTTATCTGGTGACAGGACCTAATTTTCATCATTTTCATTTTGTACTAACTGGTTCTGTTTCTCTTGGGTAGTCAGTTCATTTATGGGCTGTTGTTATCTGATGATAGAACCTAATTTTCATCACAGTTTTCATTTTGTACTAACTGGTTCTGTTTCTCTTGGGTAGTCAGCTCATTTATGGGCTGTTGTTATCTGATGGCAGAACCTAATTTTCATCACAGTTTTCATTTTGTACTAACTGGTTCTGTTTCTCTTGGGTAGTCAGTTCATTTGTGGACTGTTGTTATCTGATGACAGGACCTAATTTTCATCATTTTCATTTTGTACTAACTGGTTCTGTTTCGGATTATTATTATTATTGTTTATTGCTATTATTATCAACATCATTATTAAGTGATTTAAAACTATTTTTCTTTGACACAGGGCTATAATTTGAAGAAGGTGATGGAGTGTACACTGATTTGCTTTAGTTTTCTTTCAGAAATTCACATAGAATTTACTTTAGTTACAATTATTGCTTGGGTCATGAGATAAACTTTCAGCGACACAATGTGACAAAATTGTTTTAACCAAAATCATGATAACACCATCAAAACGTTTTTATTATTAGTATTATTCGTTAAATTCAAACGATGCTAATATATGTATGTAAAAATGAAATTATCTTGTCGCTTGTTACAGAGCTATCCGTACTGTAAAACGTCAAATGAAAAGTTATAACACTCACATGTCTATTAGTTCTTACAAATGATTTTGTCAATGAAAATCGACGACAAAAAATTCCCTTCTCTGGCTTAATTAAGAAGCTTGGGTTGCAAAAAAATGTGTTTGTAAAACACAACCGAGTCAACTATCGTACGTTAAATAAATCAAAGCATTACTTTAGCAAAATAGAATCTTAGGGTTAACTTCCCGAGATTACTTCAAACACTCTGGTTGCCTTCCCTTCGCCGTGCCCTGTGAGCTTTGCGTTAGATCTCACGGTTTATTATTATAGAATCAAGTCGCTATTAAAATGAAGCTGTTATAAGTCAGTTGTAGTTACTAATGTCCAAGAATTCCAAATTTTCCTGTTTCGGGAATCGTAGTTTCTCTGGGATTAAATCATTCTCATTGAGTAAACATTAATTTATCACAGGTAAGTAAATGTACTTGATTTATCACATCGAACCTCGTTGCTGACGCCGTTTTGTGTAATGTTCCAGCCGACTACACAGTAATAGACTGAAGATAGTATACTGTTCGATCGATATAATTGCAAATAATTTCATTCTTCCCGTAAGAATAGATTTAGGCCGTCATTAAAATGTTTCTCGGGTGGTAAACCTTAGCTTCTCGTAATATTTTCTGAGTCGGCAAAGGGTTTATGTTTCATTTTCAATTTCTCTTTAGTAACAGATATAAACCCCGCTCTCGTTAAGGTTTGGTTCTTGATCTTCGATTATCCCATTTGAGTGATAGTTATTTCTCTTGCTATCGCCTGCTATAATTATGGTTGTGCGATCAATAAAGAGCGGGGTTTTTACAGTAGAGCCATGCCTTGAATACTATTTCGCGTGAGAAGTAACAGTTGACGTGTGTCTCCACGCGAGTAAAGCCAACAAATGCGCGTCCGTATCTGGAAAACCTTTTTATTATGTCAAGAAATGTCTTATTTACACGTCTCGTGATTCCCACGCCGGGTGTTTTTGGATGCCGGCAAGTGCGAAAAAAGTAATTACCGAGGATTCCAAAGTAACACCTCAGTCGTATGAAGGCGCAAATTGTGATCTCCCGTTTCAGTTAATCATAAGCCATGGGTAGATTCAATCTACCCTTAGCCTAATTTGCATAATTTTTTTTGGTGAGCAAAGCCCGTCATGTATAGATTACTTCACTTGACTATAAGTCACTTCAGCTAACATAGAACATCATTAAGTAAGTCAAATATGACTGTTTTGGTGTTTCTAGTCCTGAAAAAGGCTGTCGTAAACAGTGAATAACACTTTGACAACCTTAGCAGTAATCATCTTCATAGTCAAGGTGAGTTGTATCTCATCAGTTGATCGTATTTAAGTCTGGTTACTGACCTGACTGGTCAATTACCATATTTCCTTGAATAATAGCCCTCCCTCGATTAATCAGCTCCCTCAAATAATCGCCCCCCTCCCTCCCACCATCTTCTCTTTCCTTTATCCCCCCTTTTTTCCTTTCTCTTTCCATCATTAATTAGGTCATATAATTTTTAAAGGTGGTCCTATTCATAAGCTTTACCGTCTTCCTTAGGCTCCCTTGCCTCATCTCTTTTTTAATTTTATGCATATAATTAACTTCTATGGCAGAATGATAATCAAACAAAACTGAAAACAAGACAAGTATTCTCCTCTTGTTTCCTCTCAAAGTAGCCAGGGTCATGCTCATGGTAGTGAGGGCAAATCCCCAGCTCCTGGCCCTTAAATAATGACAGTCCCAATACACTAGTTAAAAATGGATTGCATTTTTAGAATCAAAGTCCACTTTTCAACTGAAGATTGAAATCATAGCATAACCTCATTCGAAGGGTAGTTTCTTGGTATTGTGGATCGGTGAAATCACCAAATGACATAACATAATACAAAATATTTGAAGGACACAGAGCAAAACCTAGACCAAAAAACAGAAGTGAATCAATGATAGTTTTTGCAAGACCAAGAAATGCCTATTCAAAGCAACAAAGTATGGTTGATTGCATTTTTACCGACAATATGCCAAAAGTTCAAATGTGAAAACTAAACTGTTGGTAGCTGTTGCAGTAAGGCCTGCTTCAAAAGTCACTATACTGCCATTCTAAGCTGGCTTGACTTCAGCATGACTGTTGCATGAGTTGGTTTCAGACATCATAATTAACTCAGTCTAATGAAAAAGCTGATATGGAAAACAAAATTTTAAATTAAAAGAGCGGTTTTGTGTACTTTTAAAAAGGTATCCTTGACTAACATATTTTTAATCACTATTCATGAATTGAGTTTAGTGGATTCCGTCTCAATTTCTTTTGTTTTTTCATTATGAATTATTAATGAGTTTCTAAAGCTCTCGTGAGCAACCACCCTCTATTGTTTTACAGTCACTTACAAGAGCTCATTCTCTTAATCGACAAGCTATAGTTATGACCACTTTTTTGAATTTCCGAGGTGTTTGCTTATGAGAGCTTCGACTGTTTATCAAATAACATAGGGTCTAGTGAATAACAAGAATTAAAAGGTTCTAAACAAATGCAAACTGCCTACCTTAAATTGCTCCAACAACTCATTGGTAACTTTATATGGTGCACCAATAATGACCTGGTCAACATAACGGCAAGCCAGTACACTAAGAACCCTTTGATGCAAACTCATGATTGGAAAGTTGCTTCCCTTGTAACGATTAACAACTGGATCTGTATGAAGACCAACTATAAGATAGTCTCCTTCTTTTTTTGCTGCGTCGAGAAAATCCAGCAAGCCCACATGGAAAAGATCAAAGGCACCTGCGGCATACGCTATTCTGTCACCAGGCTTGGGTTCCTTTCCGTCTGAAAACTGGACAATCCTCTGGGAGGTTGGAAGAAAATGGGACACACAAGTCCAGGGGCTCTTAGCAGTTGGATCAGAACTGGCCCCACTCACTTGGTCTGGGTTCATATTTGTAATTGGTGATGGACACCTATCAAAATGTTCCTTAGTCATCAGAAGCATTCTGCCCACAAGGTTTGTGGTGGACACTCCGGCTGTACGTTTACATTCTTTGTATCGCCCAGCTACTTTCACCATCTCATATGTGTCTCTACCATCAGCAGTCAACGTGATGTCATCTCCATGAACGCAAAAATCACAGTTGTATTTGTCAAGAGTTTCGATGGTCGTCACGTACGGCGCGTCCATAACAACTTCATCGACCCACTTGATCGCTTTGCACATTTTGAATCGTTCTTGCTCATTAAAAACTGGAGGGCCTTTGTGCCGTTTAATTTCCTCATCGGAGTGAACACCCACAACAAGAACATCGCCCATTGCTTTGGCTTGGCGCAGGGCGTTCGCGTGACCGAAATGGACCATATCAAAGCATCCATCCGTCCAAACACGGGTCTGTTTACGACGCTTTTGTGGAGAGTGATTCATCTCATCGTTCTCCATTTTGGATCTTAGTTTCCTATGAAGCAAAATAGAAACTGTTACCGCAGAATTGCGAAAGACAGACAGATGAAATAGATGAATGAGGTTAAGGACGTGTCACAGTCAAACTCGTTTTCATGTAACAACTCGGCCCACGCTTCCTCAGTAATAGCACCTAACAGCGCTTCTGCTGGGGCCCGTAGACAGTCGGGCCCGTAATGATGCGGGACGGGGGATTTAAGGCAGGGAAGGGGGGCGGGCGGAGGTGGTAGGTGTGGTGAGGTGGGGTGAGGCTCAAGATAAAGCAGTGTTGGTTGACATTTTTATCACACCTTGTATCTGCATGAGGATTTGTAAATTAGTCTACCGGGCCGCGGGGGGAGGGGGGGGGGTACTTCCTTTAACGGCCTATAAGGGGAGGCTCCGGCGAAAAGGGTTCCTGCTTTTTCAATTAACTGTAGTGACAAAACAACACAGAACAACAAAGAACAAAACGTCTTGAGTATTCCCGATATTTCGAAACTAGTCAAGCCGTTCTTCTTCAAGGGATTTATTGTAGAAACGGAAAGTCGAAGAAGAACGGCTTGACCGTTCGAAATATCCGGAATACTTAAAGTTGTTCTTTGCTGTTTTGTTATTACAGTTAATTGATCTTTGTTAAAACAGTAAGATTTGGATACCGTTATTATTCTGATAATTATAAAAGTTTCTACTTTTTTCAAGCTTAAGGTATATGAAAAGGTAGGGGTTTCAGGCCCGGTTCAGACGCCGCTCCACTCATGTGCCGAACCTAACTGATGAATTTTAATTAAAATTACGGCAAAAGAGCGGCGTCTGAATCAATTTGGTACGGCAGTTTTAGTTTGGTGCGGCAAAAGCGTTAAGTTCGACAGAGTCTGACGAACTTTTGTCGAACTTAACTTAGGTTCGACACACGGTACGCCGTCTGAATCAGATGTCACGCCAGTGTTGCTCCAAAGTCGAACTTATTCAGTTAGGTTCGGCACATGAAAAGTACGGCGTCTGAAACAGGCCTCACTACGGACGCATATTCAGGGAAGGGAAATCTGTAAAATGACCAAAAAGGGCTAAAGAATTAAGAGTCTTAAAAAAGAAAGTGCATTAACAGCAGTTAAAAAAGATGCCAGTTCTAAATATGAAAGAGGTACCACTTGCCAATGAAAGGTATAAGAAATGGTACCTTTTCTGTCAAAGATGATATATAAATTAATCTGAAAAGCTATAACGAGAACATAATCACAGAGGTGATACACGGTTTTCTTTCCTAACCCTTTTTCTCAACATTTAATTACTGAGCTTGTTGTGGAGAGAGAGGAAATAGCTGAGCCTTTCGGATCAAGTTTATCTTCAAGTGAACAACTCTGCAGATCGAGCTGTTCATACACTTGGCTGACACGTGGTATATATTTTGGCTGATCAGATCTCCCGTCATTCATACATCCCGCAAATTTGTTATTTGATGTATCTTCAAAGATCATACTTATTAATAATAATGGTTATAATAAAAATTATGATAATAATAATAATAATGATGATGATGATGATGATGACGAATGAAATTATATAAATGATGATGATGATGACCAAAACGGTTTTATTCACAGTACTAGTACATCTATTCAAAATATAAATTTCTCCTTATGTGAAAGAGCTAAAACTAAATTGACGTTACTAGTAAAAGCTGAACACGATGTAAATTTGAAAAAAAAAAAAAACAACAACAAAAACATGGAGCCAAAGTTAAGTATGTACATGTACAAGAGAGAAAAAACCAGTGTAAGTAATCACACATACCAATGTGCAACCGTTTGAATACTAGAACAGTAGTGCTTTTTTTACAAGAGACAGCCACATCCCTCCCCACCCTTGAACTTTTTGTGCGTATGAAAGCCACAGTATGCGTGATCCACATTTTCCTCCATAGCCGTAACGACGAATTTCAGACGCGCACTGCGCGCGTTAGGATGCATGCCGGTATACGTATCGGGTACGTATACCATTGGCAAAAAGAATGTACAAAAAAACTGACTGTGACTTCTGAAGAGACAATCAGTTGTCTTGTGTGTTTCAATTCACGATAGGTTGTCCCGTCTTAATTGATCCGTAATCGTCTTGGGGATATTTAATGTAAAACCTGCGTCCAGCGTAAAAAAAAAGATAAAACGGGCCATCATATATCTTAACAAGATAGAATAATTGTTCTCTCTTGATCTCAAACGGTCAACCCCCTCAAGCGCCACACCCCGCGCCCCTCCCGCATCACTTTAAGTTATTTAAATGAATAAGCTTTTCTCTTTTTTTACTTCAGTCCTGCACATTGGAAACGCAGTTGTCGTAATTACGCAAGTAATGGCTTTATCTTCAAAAAGAAATTGTTTGTTCATATCAGGCAACAGATGTCAGCCTTCGTCACTTGATTGGAACGTCCGCTTAAACCTGTAATCCTTAATATTTCCATGTGTCTATTGGTGACTCAACGCCGGGACTGAAACTGGATAATATATATTTTCCGTTTTCGCTGTCTAGAGACTGCGGTAACTTATTAGCCTTTTCACTCAAACCGCTCAGGATACCCGAACCTCTTCCAAGACTGAGAAAAGGCAAGGCTAGGCTGTCTCGCGATCGAAAGGACGCCGCATTGTCTACTCAATCTGGAAAATTCTTAAACCAACGAAGATGGCTGGAACGCCAACTTCTGGCCATAAAAGAAATCGAGCAGTCAGGTAAATTAAAATAGCTTAGTTCTTATCATTTTCCAAGCGCTAGAGAAATGAGAACCGGTTGGATCGAGTTCCGGAAACAGCTACACTGTAATCTGCGGCGACTGGCACACGCATTTCAAATGCTTGGATAAAGAAAACGTATATTAGCGTTCACAACTTTTTATAAATTGTTAAGGCATCTATCATAAGGTCTGGCTAAGCAAAATCGCTCTGCCTGATTTGAGGGATAACATTAAGATACGCTATAGGCGAAACGTAAAACCGCACTGGAATTAAATTCATATATATCTAAGAGATAAACATAGCGGTGTGGACAATTTGCAAAGAAAACTGATCATGGGCCACTGAATTAAGCATAATATTCATTCGGAAATTGCCACGAGCGCTATCTAAAAAAATCTTTGTTCTAAGCGAACGTAACGATAGAATTAATCAGATAGACACCAACCTTTACCATTTATCGAATAAGAAGAAGAAAAAAACCCACCACAACAACAACAAAAAGAAAAAAAACGAATAACGAAGAAAAAGAAAACAGAAACGGGCGGCAATATGCAAATGCTGATTAGAAGACGAAAGGGTGTTCTTTCCTTCAAGTTATTCCGCGTTCATTGCTAGAAGCAGTTCATTCCTGTCAATTGCGTTTCAACACATTTTATCTGTAGCAAAAAAATTTCCTTTGCTTTTGTAAAGAAGAAATTTGTGAAAATTGAACCACTATTTACAAATAACCATTTCAAGCTACAAATGAACGCAATACTTATTTTGTCTTTCAGGCCACCTGCTTTTCAATGTCAATATATGGGTTTAAAATCTACCCTCTATATCATTTGTGGCTTCAGATTCAACTTGAATTGAAACCACGGCATTAAAGGATTATTGCCGGGCAAAATATTTTGTATCGTTGTGATCCATTATGAGTATCTTGAAATTTTTCAAACATGCTTTTCTCATTAGTTCTTTCATTTTCATCGAGCTTTGCATTGTAAAAGTTTGGTTGTGTAAATAGTTGGACCATTTGAACAGGGTGCGATAAATTTGCATACTGCTAAGAAATAACTGTGCAGTTTTAGTGGGGCTTCCAAATAATGAAGAGCAAAAATGAATAATTAACAATGCTGATCTCTTACCTAAGAACTACAAAATTTAAAAACTAAGAAAAGAGATTAAAAAAATATCATGACACTGAAGAAAACTAGACATGGAAATAAGGTCATTTTATTCAGTGTTTAGTTTTTCTAGAAAAAGAGACGATGGTTAGGTCTTTTAATGATTTTGTCTTCCAGTCGTTAGAATTTTGAAAAGTTAAACGTTGGTTTGTTTCTTTGTTTGTATCGTGAATGCCAATCTTTGCTCTAGTTATAGGAGCAAAGAAAACATCAGCAATATGGCCCTATTCCAAGTAAATATTGTTTACTAAGTGCTTGCTTTTCCTTGAAACTTACGCACGCAAGCAGACTGGGTCTCTCATGTTTTGGTCAGGTGGAACTAGTTAGGAAAGTTTTGTCGTATTTAGCAGTGAAAAAGTAAGTTTTGCCTTGGCAGATGTGGGCCACCGTAGTCAGTTACCTTACGGAATTCGAAATGAATTGCAAACCCTTTCTATTCTTTAAGATATATTTAGGCTTCTACACAGGTCTATCAACTCATAACATAGTACTATGTACTTGGCCTGAGTCTCAGGTCTTCTCTTTTTCTATTACCTGTTTCCTCCATAAACGCTTGATGCTCCACGCTCAAATAAAAGGGCGTATCGCTCGGAGTATTGAAGAACGCGTTCGACACCTCTCCACTCCTCTTGCGTTTTTTCAAAAAGGTGGGGTGTGGACACTATTCCTTTTTAACCTTGATGGTGGGGGGCGGGTGGTGGGGTAATTTGCTGGGCGATGGCTCGGGACATTATGGGCAGTCTTACATCAAGGAGTATCCCTTTGGCGACCGTGGTGAGAATTTCAGGGCGGTGTCACAGTGATATGTGTATCCCCGTGATATGTGTATCCCCATACACATATCCCTAGTGATATGTGTATCCCGGGTGGGGATACAATAAACACTGATGCTCATCCACGACACAATAAGGAAATATCTTCTCTTGCTAAAGGAAATGTCGTCGATATCATCTAACATAACTAGTAACACAACTAGGGTTAAGACAGGAATCAAACAACATGCAAAGGTGGAATATTGTGGCGCTCGCAGAAAGGGATACACATATCACTGACCCAGCGCAGAGATATGTGTATCCCCTCTATATTTTTTGACTTTTCGAGTTATCCCTTGCTGAATGAAATTTTGTCAGTCATACTTATTTAACGCGAGTAGTGACATATGAACTATAATCACGTTGGATAAGGAGAGGAGCGAGAACGAATGTTTACATCAACATTGCGGCCCATGAAGAAGTAAACTCGCCAGAGACAGCTTTGCGATTATTTTGTCTCGAATCGTTGCTCTTTTGTCGATTGTGTTGCTCGTAATCTTGAATCATTTGTAGTCCCTTTGACGATGATTCGCAAAATTCATAAAAACAACAGAAATAAAAACCGACACTTGTTTGGAGGGGTGGGGGGTAGGGGATACACATTTCACTGGCAGCCATATTGGAGGGATACACATATCACTAAGGATATGTGTACGGGGATACACATATCACGGGGATACACATATCACTGTGACAGCGGAAAAACGTTCTGCGCAAGCTTCTGCGCATCCCTTATCGCAGGCTCAAGGCGGGCTTTTCTGTGTGTTGACTGTGTCTGTTTGTTGCTGGAGTTCTGAGTGAAGTGCACGAGGTGCGAACGTTTGCTCCCTGTAAAGCATTTTTATTTGACATGTTTACTTTTTTTTCGTCGCTTAAAAATTACTTTGGATTCAGAACAACCAATGTTAAAGGAAAAACGGATCATTTCGTCAGTCTGAGGTGGAATAAAAGGTTTTGAACATTTTTAAAAAGGCGAGTATTTTTTCTGATTGTGCATCCGATTAATTTATGAGTTGATTTCGCCAGGTTGAATTAAAACCCGCTTGTATTCTGTTATTAGTAATTACGGTTACTTTTTTACACGCCGAGATTTATTACCTTTGCAGAACCAGCTTTATCTTTGTCTTCAGTCAAAGAACCATATTGCTGTTATATAACGCATCAGAGTGAACAAACTTGTGCGCTTATTAAACTTTCTCGGAAATAGAAGGCCAGCAAGCTTACTCAGGATCATTTTTCTGTTGCTTAAGTAATGGTAGTCAGAGTTTTTTTCATTTTTCATTACACAGTTTTGTTTTCCAGTGCACTGTGAAAGTTTTTGTTCTTTATAAGAATAACTTTCTGTATGCAAATTGTCCTTTTCAGTCGCTGTGAAGTAGAGAACGACAACTGCCGGCAGTGGCTTCAAAACAATTGACTCTTTTCCCGTAAACAATTGCTGCAGCTGGATTTGACTGAGGCGAGCAAAACAAACCCTTATGTGCAATTTTCTGTATTTTCTAATGATCGGCTGAGTTTAATTTGCTTAAACGAAGACCCTTGCATGGACCAGTTAAGCTAATAAAATAGCTACATGGTGAATCATGGCTTGGCTGTCAAGTTGCAACTGATCTTTTGCTTTTAAGATCTTTATAGGTAGGTTGCTTTCGTACAGAAAATTCATTTCTTCATTGTCAGCAAGAAGTTTTTTAAATAATGTACCTTTAACTTTGTTTGAAGGAAATCCTACTCACGCGTAGGTTTTTGACAGATAGTATACGTGTTCAACTTGACAACACAAAGCGAAATTTATATATCTGCGCGAAACGAGCAAGTTTAAAAAACTATAGTCGGCTTTGAAACCGATCTTTGGGAAGATTTTACTAGATAAATTAAAGATTGACCTTTTTTCTGCCCACATATTAACACAATAACTTCTACATTGAGGATTTTGTCTATATTTTAGTGATCTGCGAAACTACGAGTGTCCGATCGAGCGAGGGTTTTAAAATATCAGCTAGAGTGCGACAAAGTTCAGTGACTTCAAACACATTGTGGGCAAGCGTTAATTTTTTTGGGCAAATCACTGTCCAAAGATATGTTGCTTTTGTGTCCACAGTGGAGCTCCGGACCTTATATATCCAGGAACTTCCTTATATGAACACATTTTGTGAATGCATCTTGAAAAAAATCGGACCTACCCATGCACATTTCCAGTACAACGCAAGGAAATTAATGTCGTTAAAGTCCGTTTTACTATGAGGTATTCTTCGAGAAAATTAAGTAACGACAAGGATATAACCACAGCTTGCAACTTTTGAAGACAAATTGCCTGTACTTTCCAGGTTATGAGTGGAAACAGTTTATTTTTAGGCAATAAAATATTTGAAATCCCGCCATGTTTTCAACCCCGGCCGGGGGATCTGGGCAAAAACGTTCACGCATGCTCATTACGTTTTTCCGCCCTGAAGGTGCGAATGTAAATAATATTAAGCCAGAAGAATATCGAAGATTGACGCTTTCATTTCATCAGGAATATGGGAAAAGTTACTGTTAGTTGTTTTCCATACTTAAGGTAGGTCAGTGACATTGCTAAGGGTAAGAAATCTCGGAAATACTTCAGCCAATGTTGTTGTTTGCCTACATGCAGCAGCAGTGCCGTATTTCTTCAGTAAGCTTATGTTGATATTAATTTGTTTGAACAGCTGTCGATGGAGATTTTTGTGCGCAGTCTTTTATTGTATTTCAGCAAAGTATGAAATACATTCTTTATAATAATGTAAAACTAAAAAATCCTGTGAAGGTCGTGTCCAAAAACAAAGTTATTTTGCAACCCTTCGTTGTATGCATGAAAATACTCCCCCGCAAACATTCTTCTCTTGTATTCGTGAAATCTTTGATGGTCAGGTTACAATTTGGAGAGCATGATTTTGAAGTGGCTCAGTGCTCTTTCTCTATGCAGATACAGTAAATCGTTATAAAATCAGTTACTGATCACATCTTGACATTCTACTGTTTTTGCATAACATTCTACTGATCTGTCAAGATCCAGCAGGTTACTTTATAGCAACAGGCATGCAGTGGCCTGTGGAAAGTGAAAGCACGCTCTTGGCAGCGTATAAGGTGAATCAAAGTGCACATGAGCCACTAAATTAAGAGAGTGACCAAAGTCCTCATGTCACCAGATATACTGTAAAATTAATGATCTTATAGACGCCTGGGGTTTCTTTTTGATTTTAGGAGCCCAAGTGGGGCCATTTAATAGATAGGGAGCATTTAAAAGAGAGAGCAATTTTATTCTCATACTCCACAAAGCTAATATGCTTTTGGCAAATATTATCATCACAGTTAATAAATACTATTCAGTTCATCCTTTGAGATGTCTGGGCAGTTTAGAAATCCTTATTTTTTTAAAGCTCAACTTTGATGTCAGAATCTTTACTTAAAACCTGACATTGAACAAGGTAATATGGGCAAACTCTTGTTAATCAAGCAGGAAGTTGAATAAATTAAATTATTTTGCTCTATTTCATTATTTCTCAGTATTTTAGAGCAATTTTGTCATGTGAGGCATCTAGTAGACAGGAGGGTTTTTTTAGAGAAGGATAACTAATACAAGTGTACTATGTATTTATTTGAGACAGAGTACTTATCAGGTGAGGCCTTAAAGCTTCCAGGAAGAATGCCTAGATCAGGCCCAGTTTTAGCAGCTCTCAGACATTGATCTTCTCGTACATGATTGCACTAAAACTGGGCCTGCAACGAAACCTCACATGCCTGTGCTGCTGTGACCAAATTCTGATTGCATGTCCATGGTGTAGTTTTTGGGACTATGAAGAGGTTGTTAGCTAACAAGGAATATTTTTATCCATCTAGGTTTACCAGGCATGATGTGATCGCTCTGTGCCTTGCAATTTTCATTCCAGTGACTGCTATAGTACTTACTTTGGTCGCAGTTCTGCCGGCATTAGGAGCACCTCCCTTGCCTAACTTTGAGGACCCCATTAAGGTATTTTAGTTACTGATACAGTATAAATTATAATTGTAGGAGTGATTGCAAAGAAGCCTCAAGTGATTTCTGTTTTACTGCAAGGTCGACCTCCTCCTTTTTGCCTTCTATTTGCTTGTGAAATGTTTTATTATACACCGTATTCACAAATGGCGGACATGCGGGAAAAAACTGGTGCCTAGTCATGAAAGCGAGGCGTTGGAGGGTAAACAAAAATTGCAAATGAAGACTTTCAGTGAACTTGCAGAGTGTTTAGCATGGATTCCACCTAAAATAACGTTGTATGGACGTCTTTTTAAATACAATGACGTGGGATGTCTTCTGCTTTTAATGTTTAGTATTGATTTGCTGTTTGCAATCAAAAGGGACGCGTATATCTTCAAGGAAACAGGATGATTTTGTAGGTTTCCGAAGCATCAGAAGCTCGACAAGTCAGCGATGGCTGGAGAAAAGCGGCAAACATGTTGGCCCAAACTTCACATTGAAACCGAGTTCGAAAGCCAGCTCAGTGCAATTCTGTAAAACAGAAGTAAAAACAGATATAGGTGGCAAGAAAAAAAGAAATAAGCGACGGATATATGGCCTACTTGTCAACGGAAGAGACCTCCGCCATTACTCACCTACTAGTTTTTTCCCGCGTGTCCGCCATTTGTGAATACGGTGTATAAATAGAAAATATAAACTTACTCTTTGTTCCCTGGTACTATCTTAAAATACTTTAGTTGTTTAAGTTAAAACAAACTTGAGGACCTTCACTAGTTTTTAAAAAGCTTAAAAAAACACAAACATTCATTTTCCCAGTCACACAGACCTAAAGGTATCAGAAATCAGTAATTGAGGGCCTCTGTGCAAAAATTCCTCCCCAATAATAAAACTCTCTCTAAGACAGACACCGTTAGAATCAGCCCTAGAAAGATGTCCGTCTTATAGAGAGTCAAATAATGGGAGTAAATTAAGGCAGGGACCGTTTCTAGATGTCTGTTTTATAGAGATGTATGTCTTTTAGAGGTGTCTGTCATCATGAGAGCATTGACTGGGTGTATGCTAGGGACTAGCCTTAAGTGTCTGTCTTGGAGAGAGTCAAAAAAAGGGACTCAATTAAAGCAGGGACCAACTCTAGGTGTCCGTATAGAGATGTACCGGTATGTCTTATAGAGGTGTCCATTATGAGAGAGTTGACTAAGTGCATGCTTGGTATTGGCCCTAATTGTCTGTCTTAGAGCGCTTTCCATTTGTCAGAACTGACCGGCCGGACAATTAACTGACCAGTCAGTTAGCAAATGAAATCATCTTTTTCTCTTGTGCATACTTTTTGGGACTTGACTGATTGGGCTGAATAGTTTTGATTAAAAGTGAAATTCTCATTAAGACGGGAACGGTCTGGCCGGTCAGTTCTGACAAATGGAAAGCGCCCTTAGAGAGAGTCAAATAAAAGGAGTAAAGAAAGACTGAAGGTACCAACTCTAGTTGTCTGTTCTGTAGAGGTGTCCATTAAGAGAGTGCCAACTGTATGCTGGAAAGTATGAAATTAAAGGATTTATGGGAAGTAATTCAAATGTCACATGACTTCATCTTTGTTTTTCAGTACATTGCAAAAGTAACTGTTCTCTGTTTTCCAGGGATTTGAGCCCAGAGGAACACCACTCAGTAATGAGATTGTGGCATTTTCTAATCTTAAGGATGCTTTGTATAGGACACTTCTTACAGAACTCAGTAATACACACTCAGGTGGGGGAACAAACATGCGTGACACTGTGGATACAGTCAGGCGCAAACGACGCTCCCTGCAAAGTTCACTTCAACCTCCTTTGAGGAAATACTTCAACAGGGATGATGCCAGATCCATGAGTTTGGTTTTCAAGGCTGTTGACCCAGGCAAAAACTTATTTGAGGCAGACAAACTTAAGACCATCTGTTCCATGGATACTGACATTGTGCGAAATAACCCATCCTTTTTATTATATTGCCAGGGGGACAGTACTGGATGTTACTCAAGCTCATCTCTTGGAAATTATGTTGCATTGCTCAATAACCGACGCTCGTGTCAAGATATTATTGAGAATGATGTGCAAAATGTCAAGATGTTGTTACAGGACTGTTCATCTTATTTTGCAAAGCAAACTCTGACTGCTAAGTGCAAATACCCAGATTTGTCTGAAAATGAAACTGTGAGCTCTAACTGTCCGTCTGTGCCTGCCAAATGCATCAAACACTCTGCAGTGTACAACATTTTTCAATATCTTGTAGACAACGAGTTTATTGTGACATCGAACAATGCTTTTCTCAAATATACTGTATCTATTCCACCAATATTTTGGAAAAATGCATTTTATGAAGAAACGTATAGCAAGTTAAAGGATAATACCCCTGAGAAAGGTGGTGTGAAATTAGCGGCCTTCAGGTTTGGTAATTTCAAATATGACAAATTTGGCAAAGAGCTAATTGCTGAAGTCATATTTCCTGCTTTGGCTATGATTGTTGTGTTTGCAATCATGTGGTTTTTCTTGGGCTCTTTCATTCTCACTTTTTGTGCCCTCTTTTGCGTAATTTATGCTTGTGGTCTATCATACTTTCTCTATAATATTGTTTTTGGCATGGATTTTTTCCCTTTTCTCAATGTTCTGACTTTGGTATTTTTGGTTGGTATTGGAGCAGACGATGCATTTGTTTACTATGACATATGGAGACAAACAAGAGCTGCTAACCCCAATGCAAACATCATGCAGTTGACACTTAAGACATTGCGTTATTCTGCCCTCTCCATGCTGGTTACAAGTTTGACAACAGCATCAGCATTTTTTGCTGGGATCTCTTCCAGCATAACAGCCATCAAGTGTTTTGGAATATTTGCAGGTACGTCCATCTTGACCAATTACCTCTTGATGATCACTTACTTCCCTGCAGTAGTTGCCTTGCACGAGAAATGGGTGATGAAGTACAATGAAGGCCATGAACTTCACACTCTAAAATCAGGCCAATCAGAAGAGGGTATAACTGCACCAATGCCACAGGACATGTCGACCGATGCCTTAAGGGAAGGACCACTCAAACCTGATAATCAAAAGCAGTCATCTTTCTGTATTCTGCAGGTTTTTGACTTTCCCTGCTCCCTTGTATCATCAGCTGCGGGTGGTATCCAAAAGTTCAGTTCCAATCTGTTTGGTCGTTGGTTGCCATATGTAGTTATCAAATTTCACTGGGTTTGGGTAGTACTACTTGTGTGCTTGACCGCTGGGTTTTTGTGTGTTAACTTTGTAAAACCGGGCCTTCAGTTACCTGAAAGTAAGGACTTCCAAGTGTTTGCCTCTTCCCATTCACTTGAACAGTACAGTTTAAAGTACAAGAGTTTCTTTAGGTTTGAGCAGAGTGGAAGCTCAAGCATAGAGCTAATCTGGGGAATCAAACCTGCAGATAATGGCAATTACTTCAACCCGGATGACAAAGGAACGCTTGAATTTGAATCGAATTGGGATGATATTTTTACCCCCAAAGGCCAGCAATTTCTTCTTTCTCTGTGTGAATCGGCTAAAAACCAGTCATTTTTCCGTGCATTTGCTGGAAATCGGGGGTGCCCAATAAAGGCACTACAAACATTATTTGAAAGTGGCTATGTTCCAAGTTGCAGCGACCATTCATTTCCTTACCCACGTGATGTAATTAAGCGTTGTCTTCGGGAATATGCGAAGTTAGGACATGAAACTGGACTTCTATTTGATTCTAAGACAAATGATGTGAAGGGATTTAGGCTTGTTATTTTAACCAATCAACCATTCACAAACGCTTTTTCAGTTGTAGATGGAGTCTATAAACAAGTTACTTCTTGGTTGAAAGATGAATTGTCTGAGGCTCCCCCTGGCTTGCAAAGTGGCTGGGTAGGAAGTTGGTTGTTCAATTTTTATGGCCTACAGATTGGCCTCTCACAGGGTACCTATTCATCCCTGGGCATATCTGTGGCGGTATCATTCTTCGTCATGCTGCTCACAACACTCAACATCTTCATCAGCATCTATGCAATCATCACCATCATTGGAATCATATCGATCACCATTGGATCTCTAGTATTGGCAGGCTGGCAGTTGAATATATTGGAGTCCATTGTGATGTCAGTAGCTGTTGGACTGTCGATTGACTTTACTATGCATTATGGTGTGGCTTACAGACTGGCACCAGACAAAAACCAAAGAGAAAGCAGGGTACGTTATTCCCTGGTTCACATTGGATCAGCGATTACTATGGCAGCACTTACAACATTTCTCACAGGTGAGACTTTCTGTTCTTGTTTTCTCTGGTTAGTACATAAACTAAAACTAGAGTAAATCGTTGATTACGGATCGGGTTCGTCACTTGCGGAAACGAAATCGAGTCGAAAGGAGTCCACTTTCCCGGCCGAGATGCCCCTGATAAAATCAGTAGGGGCGGCTAATCGGCGGTCGCCCGTGATATCTCGAAAATTTGTGGCTGTGTACCACAGGAACACCAAGATTAGGATGCGTTCTGACGAACGCGATTAGCCTGCTAATACAGCCATCTCTCATCGCTTCCCGTCGTTTGGAAAATTTCGCGATAGAGACTTTTTTTTGCGTCTTGACGCCAGTCTTGATATTTGTGTCGAGATAACACACTTCAGTAGATGATGTGGATGTGTGCTTAAGTTCCAATTCTGACGGGTAAATTACGCTGATGCAATTTCCAAAGTTCAGATTGTTAATACTGAATAAGTCGTCGATGTATCGAAAGGTGTTGCTGAACTGGATGGCTTTGGTAATGTCTTGTTTCATTGTTTTGACCATAAAATCGTACTGAAAGGTATGCAGGAAGAGATCAGCCAATAAAGGTGCACTGTTGGTGCCCATAGGTATACCAATAACCTGCCGGAAAACCGAGCTTCCAAAACGAACGTAGATTTTATCGATAAGAAAGTCAATAGCGTGACCAAGCTCGCAATAACTGTTGAATAATAAATAACTGGAAGAGTATACGATGTTGTGCGATGAACGTATTTCCAGTAAATACTCGGGAGAGTATAATTGCCACACCAACAATCAGAGATCCTGACTAATCGACTGTATTCACGGACTATAAACAGCTAACACATATACTAGCCTGCGTGGCAAGCGTTTTAAGTGTGAAAGGAAAAAGGGGAAATTAAGGAGCTTAAGCAATAACGACGGCGACAGCTACGAAAACGTCACCTAAAAAGTGTGTTCGCGCTGCTTTAGACTTTATCGTGCGTATTCCATCTCGTTCTGTTCATCAGATGTTGGTGAGGAAAGAGCGTCCGGCGTTGTCATATATTCACTTCCTCCACAAAAAGTGAAATTAGGCAGTTTCTCGTTGTAATCGTGCAACAACGGCAAAGAAATGTGCAAAAAAGCGTGATGCACGTGCAAAGTTGTTGTTTTGCCAATCTAACCCTATTGCTTTTTTTTCGTCCTCAATGTCGTCGCCGTCCTCGTTGTTTAAACTGCCTAATAAGGCGTGCTAGAAAGGTTGCCTTCCTTTTGCTTCCCTTTCGCGCTCTTCATAAGCTCTCGCTCGTTAGCTCAATTCTCCCTTTTTTACTTAAGGATGTTTTTCTTTACTTTATCAGGATTGATGATGATGCCAGCGAAGGTGCTTGCGTACTTCCAGCTTGGTCAGTTCCTGATGTTGGTCATGGTGTTTAGCTGGCTTTATTCCACCTTCATTTTCTTATCAATCTGTACAATGATTGGTCCAAAGAATGATTTTGGACAGCTTAACGTCACTCGTCTGTTTAGGCGCTGTGGTCTTTGCCGAGTCAAACCGGAGGAGTCAACGGAACCAATAGAAAAGAATGAGCTTGTTACTGTGAAACAACAAGAAGCCATTGATCTGCAGGCTACTGGAACAACAAGCACACTCTGAACTGCATCAGTGGGAGATCTAGGGGAGGGGTCCCAGGAAAAAATGATTTTTTTAGACCCCACCCCCTGACTCTAATATTAGGGTCTGGATGAGCAGGAGGCCTCACTTAGTTAAAGAACTTAATCGCCACTGTGCGTGTCTTATTAGAATCTGCATTAAGTACTTATTTGTTTGTGTATATTTTCTTGAGAATATAAAAAAATCTTCGAGAACGATTTTAGTTTAACAGACTATTCACGGCATCTCTGTTTTCTTAACGTAAACTGGAAGTAGCGTTATTGCATTGACACGTGCGCTGAGCCAACATACACGTGTTCAGTTCGCGCGTTCATCAAATAAGAATAAGAGAAAACCGAGTGTTGTAAACAGTCTTTTTTTATAGGGCCGAAAAATGGTCAAGTGTCAATGTAGCCACCCTCAATCACAACGCGTGTATGTAGATAATCATTTGAACCCATCAGATTAAGCGAGCCACTCGTCGATGGTTTTGGTTTTACCTCTTGATGTTAAAGAGAATTTTAAGCAAATCAAAAGAGCTGGGTAAAGCAAGCAGTTGTAAAATTGCTTCAGAAACTGTAGTTGCACATATACATATGTAATATAGGTGTCAAAACTTGGTGACGGTCCCTGTGTTGTTCTACAAAAACTATGCTAGCTGTATATATGACAAATGTGTGATGCGAGCAAGCTTTCCATTTGGGGGATAACGCGAGAAGTCACATGGGAGTGGCACACTAATAGAGAGGCAAGAGCGAGAGGCAGGAAAAGCTCGAAGCTCGCTCGCTATAGCTACTCGAAATAGAAGGTTTGCTTGCCGGCCAAATTGTTTTATAGCTCCACTAGGAAAGGATATATCAACTAAGGAGATATTCCTAAATAGATTATATTGGCCAAAACTTTTCATTATGCATATTCCGTGGTATTTCTTATGTTATATCTAGTCAAAAGCTATTTAATAGCTTTTTTTAAGTTATAGCAACTTTACCTCATATAAATATATTATTATATTATATTTATAGTTCCAAAATACGGTAGCTTGAGTTTGATCGTCCGGATAAACGTAGTCGTGAATAGGACTGTTAATGTTGACAGTGACTGACGTTTCGACAACCTGTGCGGTAGTCATCTTCTTATTTCATGGTTTTCAATTTAACCTTGATGCGAGTTATCGGTAAACTTTTTGCTGTTGATTATATCCTTTAATATCCTATAAAAAATAAAATTGTTAAAATAGACAAGATCCTCGTGTAACTCGTCAATCGCTTGCGCTCTTCTCCTCGTTAAATGTGAAGTAGAAGGGACTCGCGCTCGGGTCAAAAAAGCTTAAGCGCACTCAGTCTTCTCGAGGGTCCCCAATAGGTTGTTCGGGATCCGGGATTTGCTTCATCTTGTATCCTCGCTCACGGTTATTGTGTTGCCATTGTTAGTCTAACATTTCTTTCAACTGGATATTGAACAATATGTTCATAAGTTAAACCTTGGACGGAACAGTTCAAAGTCAACTAACGTTTCCTCTTAGGGGACGGGGGAGGGGGGTGGGCCGTATATTTGGTCGTTGTAGTTAATTTTTTATCTCAGGTAATTTCTATTTTTCTTTTGTTTCAACTTCATTAGCATACATTACCATACCCAAAGTCAAAAGAAAGACAAAAATTACCTAAGATAAAAAGTTAACTACAACATGCACAGGGTCCAGAGGAGATGTGTTTGTCGTTAGAACATCAAAACCCGTCGAAAACCTCTGAAAAAATGGGTTATTTTGCTCGCGTTCAGGTTTCGTTACCGCCATTCTATACACCGCAAACCAAGAGACCGAGGGCTCGCAAGATCGGCCTACAGTTCTCTTTTTTTACTCGGCACTTCGTGCCTCGGTCACCCTTCGGGCGACGTTCCGTGCGCCAGCGAGGATATGGCTTGCGGTTATTGATTTTCAAAATGGCAAACGCAAACAACAAAGTCGATCTGGTCAGATAAGAAGCGAAGAAATCGTTTACAGTAGATTCATTAAGATCCCATTGGGCTAATTAATCGTGCTAAGCGACAGGTATAGACATTTTTCAAGGTGTGACTTTAAATAAGTAATTCATTTATTCACACGAAACTCCTCTGGACCCTGTGCAACATGTTCCCTGTGTGTACCCCCGACCATGAATACGTGAAGGTGGAAATGGTATGCCTGTGGTTGACACACACACCCCTTTCCCAGTCCCCTCACTCTGATCCTACCGCTAAGACTATAAACAGTGGGTTGCTGTAGCTGCTTCTTGTCGTCCTAATTTGGTGAATTTATCTGGCAAAATGAAGGAGAACGTCTTTCTCTTTATCCCTAACTTAATTGGTAAGTATTCGTGGTTCTTTTAGGTAAGATGAGTTGATTGTTATAGCGGTGTTCCAAAATGACAGCTGTTCGGAGCAGATTTCAAAGCAACAATGACCGATCAGTGGTGCGATCCACACCGATGTACAGATCCTAAGCTAAATGAACGATTCGTTTCTCGTAGGTTATGCAAGAATCGTATTGGCTATCCTGTCGTTTTATTTTATGCCAACCGACTATATCGTCGCTACAATTATGTACCTACTCAGTGGTTTACTTGATGCATTCGACGGACATGCAGCACGATACTTTAATCAAAGTGAGTCTCTAGTGTTTTCTTTCGCAGTTGGTGTTAGCTTAAGTGCGTGCTCAAGAGGTTTAACAGTATTACAGTGGAGTTAAACCAATAGGGTGTGTGGAAGGTGCCTGGTCAAATGGAAGGAGCCGCAAGGGATCAGGGGAGCGCGGAAGGAAACCATGACAACCCTTCTGATAAACTGCTAGATTCTCATGCTATATTTGCCTTGCAAGTGTTTGTGAATCAAAAAGAGAATTGGAATATAAATATATAGGAGTCACTTGAGGCCTCACATTTCACACACTCCCTTATATGGTACTATCTTGTCCACAATTATTCAAGGTATTATTTATAAAAAGCTATGATGTGATACTTATTTACAGGTACAAAGTTTGGTGCAATGCTGGATATGCTAACGGACAGGTAATTGACTCATGGATTACCGTAAACGACCTCATAAACACTCGGGGTATCTATTTAATATAAGGGTCCAAGCTGAGGTGTTTAATAGATAGGAGATTTTAAAAGAGAGAGACGTTTATTCTCAGAAAACTGTAAAAAGGTCAACAAAAAATATCAAGACAGTTCAAAAATAGGGGAATAGCTACTCCATCTTGATACGTCTAGGCTGTCTAGAGATCCCTATCGCTTTTTTTAAATCCCAGCATCGATATCGGAAATTATATCCTTGCTCACACTTATTGTGTTGCCATTGTTAGAGTCTATCATTTCTTTGAACTTGATGTTGAACAAGATGAAGATTATACAAAACCATGTTAATCAAACAAGAAACTGAATGAATTGAATGACTTTAATGTTCCTCTTTGCTAATTCCTGATATTTTGGAGTAATTCTCATTTGGGGGTATCTATTAGACAGGGGCCGTTTATTAGAAAGGGCTGTCTAATACAATATTATTGTATTAGACAAACAATTGAACAGCTGGCGGGGAAGGGGGCATTATTTTTTATTAGGTCAATTATGGTACTGGCACAATAATAAAGGTTTTTTCCCTAATATGGTGGGGAAATGTGGGGAGGGGAGGTGGGTTATGGGGGTGGGGTATGGGTTATTGGCATGGGGTCTTGAGTTTATACCATTAAGTTAGTATTGTTGTCTCCTTAATCAGTAAATCTTTGGGTAAAAATGATGAAAATTGTACTAATTTAAATAAGACTTTGAAGGCTCCTTTAAGCTTTTGTTGAATTATGGCTTACCACAATGAAGCAAGTATGATTATCCTGCTTCTCAATTTGTTTTTTCCAGCTAGTCAAAATGACTTTCAGACTAGTACATGCTACAGATTGATTGCCTAAAGGGCAAGCTGTAAAACTGACTTTCTTTGCACCCAGCTAATATATACAGTCACATACCTTTTCTTATTCAAACACTAGTATTGCACGAGTACTCTGCATAAAGATTTTTGGGCAGCTTTAGCAGAGGGCATATGCATTGTTAGCTCCCAATCTCTCCATATGTGTAAAAAAAAAAACTGTTACTGATTTATAACTGTTGACCTTGTTTCATGTTGAGGCAACATCTAGAGTTGTACATTTTTGTCTTAAATTTAAATAGCAGCAACAGATTCAGATGTTTTGCTTTTGTAACATTACCATTTGCATAAATTTTAACTCAATAATTTCAAATTTCAGATGTGTTACCACAGCATTGCTTGTAATACTGGGCCTTTTTTATCCAAAGTACATTTTCATTTTTCAAATGCTTATCTGCCTGGATATTGCTAGTCACTGGATCCATGTGCAAAGGTAAGTACCTTTATCTCTGTAATAAGTCCCCTCCCCCTTTCCCTCTCTCTGCTAGGCTGAGGCATTCACGGGGGTTTCCAGTGGTGCCAACAGCTGACCTTCATGTGCTTCCAAGCTTTTCAGTCCTGTGCCAAAGTATGAATTTTGTGAGAAAGGGGGGATTTTCTGGATTGATTAGCTTTGCAGCATATTTTCCGTCCACCAGGTCTGGCTTTACCATGTGTTGGGTGGTACAGAATGTATTTAGAAATAGGGTCCCCGTGGAAGACAATGGCCCAGGAATCTGATCTGTTGGGCTTTAAATAACTGATTGGGAAAGGGGGACTGTTTCCGTTCTATTATAGACTTCCTCATTGCTAACATGATCAGTATAAGAAACGCCAATCTGTATGATTCTTAAGACTGGTTTAGGGCTTATTTATAGAGAGATTATCGTATTATAGTGTAAAGACCTTTCCAATGGACCATGTATTTGTACATAATGTGAATGTATTAGGATGTTTGGATGAGAAGAATAAATTTATTTGATTGGTTGAATTGAAGACTTACTTATTACCTCTGGATGGCAAAATTAATACCATGATAAGGCAGGGCAGAGTGGGGGTATTATTTTTCATTTTTTGGGATTCATGAGAATTATTGTGGTTATTCATCATTCACATTGTACTGTCAACAACATTTTCTTGTAAAAAGATGATTTAAGCCATAATTGATGCAGGAAATTTTTGGTGATTTTCTTTTTTTCTTTTTCTTTAGTTCTTTACTGAAAGGTGGAGCAAGCCACAAGAAAATTGATCTGTCAGGCAACTTCTTTCTTAGGATTTACTACCACTCAAGGGTAATGCAAACTGTTGTTGAGCACAGATTAACCAATTCTTTGCCTTTGTCTTTGCAACTTACAGTACGACAAACTCAACTGATGCTTTAATATTTAAGCACATGCTCTTATTGTTGATTGACAAAAGTCAGACTCTTTTGTTTTGAATGTGACCTGTGATTGGCCAACATTTTAACACTGGTTAATAGTTTCTTGATTTGATACAGATTTTTTTTGTCTAGGTGGTACTTTTTATTATGTGTGCAGGAAATGAGTTGTTTTTCTGTATGTTGTACTTGCTTCATTTTACCTCAGGACCAATTTGTAAGTACTACTATAATAATTTGTTTGTTTCCAGTTCACTTATGCAAACAACATTGCTTAAAACACCCAACACTTGTGTTCCCTAGACTGGTTGTGTTGTCGAAAATAACCATACTCATCCTTCAGAGGGTCAAATGACCATTTTGAGGGGGGAGGGGGTCTTACAGGGCAAAAGTCCAAAGCCATACTAGAATTTCCAGTGGTGTTTTTTTTTGGGGGGGGGGGGGGGGGGGGGGGTGAGGAGGGGGTTGTTCAGAGTTATTCCAAAAACTTCTATGTGTGGGGCTGGGATATTTTCTAGAACAACACAATACGGTAAAATTATGTAAAAGGTTGTGTAGTGATCAGAGTTATTATCTGGATCTGCTCTATGTATTCTGAAATTTATAAAAGGCCTTACATTGAATGATTTAGTGGGAGTCCTACAATCTTAGGTGTGCTTCCCCTAATGATGAGAATACTGTGGAGCCCTGAATTTATTATTATAATTTATTTTCCCGTAATATTATTGCTTTGAAATAAGTGACCCTTCCAGCCCTGAGAGAGGAAGTCATTGCAGCAGGGTGACTGAAAATGTGGCCTTTTTTTCAGTGTCTATTGGAGGTGTCAAGTTTGGCATATGGGCTGCCTTAGCATGGCTGACTCTCCCCATCTGTTTTCTCAAGCAAGTAATTAGTGTCATTCAACTGATGGTAGCATGCATCAATACAGCCCGCTTGGATGAGAGTGAACGAGAACGCGTGAACAAATGACTAGCAATGGAGGCTGGGGAATCAAATGAAATGCTGCTACAATGAACATGTACAGACTGACATCAGTTTTATTTAAAAGCTCTTGCTGGAAATGTGAAAGCTAACCTTTGTGATTAACCCAGCCTTCAAGGTACTGACTGTAGAATTAATGTAGGAGGATCCCCAACAGGGTCCTTCAATCCTGTAATCCCATATGAGGTAAATACTTTAGTAAGCATAAATTAATAATGATTATTATTAATTAATAAAATTTATTATTTTAATTATTATATTATTTTATTTAATTATCTTATTATTATTATGGTATTATTATTATTATTAATATTATATTATTATTATTTGTGGCCATCTGCTGGCACATTTTTGGTGTGTGAATGTAGACATGTTACAAAAGAAAACAATTTTGCTCAATTTCATCGTTGTTTTGAAGAGCCTAAAAAAGAAAATTGTGTTATAAGGGGAACAACACAGCCCCCTAGCCCCTCCCTAAATCTGTGTATCTTTCTTTGCTTCTTGCCAGTGCATTTCACAAGATATTTTTGCCCTGGTGGGACAAATTGTGAAGGTATACCTGTTCTATGTTTACGATATCCTGTGTACCAGAAACAGCAGAAAGAGATAGTCATTTACTCATGCATTTGCAAGGAAAACTGTTTGCTAAGGATCAATAAACATGTAGAATAGAGTTCCTTGTCTTCATTATTTCCTGCACGGGTTTTCAGTGACAAGGACTGGCCTCCACAAGTTCCTAGAATTTCACAGATTTATTAAGAGAGAAGGCCGGGGTATAGGTATGTAGACTACAAGTAGTCCCCATTTTTCCTCAGGGATGGTAGAGCGCACGTGAAAATCACCCCACGCGAGAAAGGCGAGACGCGGCGGTGAGAGAGAAAAACGAGGCTGCATTTTTCTCGTTCCCCGCCGCGTCTCGCCTTTCTCGCGTGGGGTGATTTTCACGCGCGTTCGCGTTTTGCTAGATCTAAAATAGGGACTACTCGTAGTCTACGGAGTATGTTCATCAGCTGAAAATCAAATCCCTCTTGCAATTTGTGTCACTTCCCCGGCGCGGACACTCAAATGAAAATGATGGGGATACTCGTCCTCTCGCTACCCTCTTCCAAGCTTTTAGATTGTGGGAAAGGAAAGCGGATAAGGTCATTTCTATTGTTCTCGCACGTGCTGCGTAACCTTCAGAGCCAAGGGACCGGGCTAGATACCTTCTATTTTATAAAGCGTAATAAAGCGTCGTTATGACAAGGAGGAATTTGTTTTGTGATATTATGCGTTCGTGAGGAATGGCCTTTCAAACATCATATTATAGCAAACATGCGCTGTTATGATAATTCTCGAATTGAAATTTCTTTGCTTTTACTATATCCATTATGTTGATGGAGTTTTACTAGTAGTGAATATTTTTTAATCGTTTGTAGTATTGAACATTGTAGAAGTTTTAAGCCCGCTGAACCAACCTTACGTGCTACAGTGTACGGGCAGGGGCAGAAGTTGCTATGAACGTGACTGCCTCGAAGAACGATTTTGTTTTTGATGGTCATTCGGTCCCTTAATTGTCACTTGTTGCGATGTTTTGTTACATAGGATTTCCACAAATAAAGCACGGCAAACATATTGGCAAAAAAAAAAAAACGTGTTGAAAAAAAAAAAAAACGAGGCACACTGAGTGAACCAAACTATTAAATTACTTTCTATTTGGAAAATAATTGTCCTCGTAGCACACGGCGTAAAAAGTTTATGCTTCGGACCATAGGTACCCGTCATTGCCCCTTTTTATCGTACAAACAATTCATTCCCAGCAGGAGCCCATAACCCTGGTGCCAGTAAGCTCATGTCCTCTCAGAGGACTACTTTTTGAGGGGAGGGGACGTCTGTACACTGGTTACTTGCTGGGCAACGCGGTGAGGGAAGGTTCGAAATCCTCAAGAAATCCTGCTTGTTAGGCGCATTAGGTAGCTGTTTATTTTCGCAAATTCATTGCATAATATGAAGGGAAAACATCTTTGTTTTTATCCCCAACTTGATTGGTAAGTATTTTGTGGTTTTGTTTTAATATCGGTCGCTATTTGCAGCATTGTTAGTTTCTGTTTCGCGAGTCAAGCAAAAGCTAGTAAAATCACTCTGAAGTCAGATGGGTTATTCGTCCTAAGTAAAACCGACCTTTATGCAAATCACAAATGACATTAAAATGGATTTCCCATCATTTTAAAACAAAGTATTTAGTGCTCGAGCAATGATTCTACTTTTAATATTAAGAAACAATTTGGCATGTTTCTCGTAGGTTATGCAAGAATCGTGCTGGCTATCCTATCGTTTTATTTTATGCCAACCGACTACATCGTCGCTACAATCATGTACCTACTCAGCCTCTTACTGGATGAATTCGACGGAAATGCGGCACGGTATTTTAATCAATGTGCGTCTCCAGGGTTTTCTATTGTTTTAATAGTGTGTTAAAATTGAGTTTATGGTACCTTCCATTCCAAGCCCGCTCATCCCACCATCCCACCCCCGGGCATTTGTGGGGCATTCTCTAACTTTTCCTTCCCAAGTTTTTCATGACACGTTGTTCATTTTAAATTTCCCGATTACCCCCAATGTAAAAATATAAAAAATGAGTTAATAACCATCGTTTGGGTCGGTCACGCACTTTTCCGGGTGAAGGGGCTCCTACCGCACCCTTGCCCCAACCTTCCCCACACCCAACACACCCACAAGTTTCCTCGTTCCCAGGATCTTCCTCTTCCCTCGTCCACGCGCGAATGAAAAGATGGCGGAAAGAAGCTTCGACATCTTTGTGGAACAAGATATCGAATTCGTAAGCTCTTGGTTGAGTGATCAAGGCTTGGAGGGATTGATTAAACTTTTGCGAGTAAGTGATTGATCCTTTAAAGTTTACTTACCATTTTAAAGTATGGCTGAAAACTGATTGATCAGTATATTCGGCGGGATCATACATATTTATTTACCTCGGAGGCGGGGAAGGGGGACTTCCACACAAAAGTTACGGGAATGCTCCTCATCTCGCTTAGAGGTGTAAATTGCAGATTTTGGCCGGTCTCACTTAGCGTGTCTGGGATGGAAGTCACTATATTTGCCTATTCAGGTATCACTTCGGGCTGTGCATAAAGAAATATTATACAAAAAATGCCTTGATGTCTGTTTTAGTATGGTTTCCTTTAGGGGTCAGTTTAAGCTTAAACAGCACCCACATTGGTCTCCCTTAGGGGTTTAATTTCAATTTTCTGACGAGCATCGCTGTCACTCTTATATGGGAGCTCCCCCCCCCCTTACCCCCGGTTCATTTGATGGTTGAACCTCCATTAAGTAGCCACCCTTGGGCAAGTGGCTGCTTAGTGGAGGTTGAATGCACCCTGTAGTGGAGTTATCAGGGTCGGCCAGGGGGGGGGGGGTAGTGGTCTACCAGTATACCCGAAAAAATTCGCCAAAATACCCCAAAATACCCAAAATTCATCCAAATATACCCAAAATAAATTCAAAGAAAATGATATACCGAATACCCGTATTTAAGCTGCAATATACTGTATACCCGATTTAAAAAGCCCCTGAATACTGTATACCCAAAAACCCTGGCCGACCCTAAGTTATTGGTAAGCCTAATTAATTCCTTTTTTGCCTTTTGCTTTTTTCACATTTCCTTCTAGCATTTTTCTAAGACAACGTTATTGCAATTAAGTTTTAATATTTGTGTAGTAATGCACAACCGTACAAAATACCTTCAGTGGTAAAAATAATGGTGTTCTGTCCTGAACACCTTAAGTGAGATCATTCCATCATTTTCCTGTGGGAGTCGTCCCAGAGGATGTCAACAGTCCAATTATTTCAAATTTTTCAGTTATTGAAACTATGGTATAATACTTAAATTTCAGGTACAAGGTTTGGTTCCATGCTAGATATGCTTACCGACAGGTAACTGATTCACAGGGTACAGTGGTACACTTTTTCTCTGCTGAATTATGTGAAGGGAGAATGTGGGGGAGGGAGGGGTGGCTTGGGGCTCAGAATGAGGTCTTCACTAGTAAATACCAATAGAAATCAATGCCACCTAAATTACTTTCTCCCTTCCGACCCCCCCCCCAAAAAAAGAACCCTGCTTTTTTTTTCTCTTAACTTGATAATAAGTTTTATTTCAAATTTCAGATGTGTTACCACAGCCCTTCTTGTCATACTGGGCCTTTTTTACCCAAAGTACATTTTCATTTTTCAAATGCTGATTTGCCTGGATATTGCTAGTCACTGGATCCATGTGCAAAGGTGAGTCTCTATAATAAGCCCTCCCGTGGCTGGAGGAGCTTATTTTTTTGCATCCAAGGAATGTATTATTTTATAATTGCCCCAGCAGAGATTTCACCTAGGCTTGAGGCATTCTAGCTGGCGCGTATATGTTGTGGTTTAATTTGTTCATGGTTTAAGTTTAATTTTCATTTGTTTTAAATTCATTATGATAATCATACATTACTATGCCCAAAACAAAGGAAAATATATTTAAATCAAGGATAGAATTGAACTACAACATTACATATAGGAAAGTATTTACAGTTGAAATATACAGTCTGTATACCAGAAAAAATCTCTATTTACTTTAATTGAAAAGGGGCCGCATGGAATCATTGGGTAATGATGATGTTTGAATTGTGCATGCCCACAAGTAAGAAATGGTTAGGATGACATAAAACAACTATGGCCTAAGGGACCGCCTAGGTTGATTTTGTGACACTTGTTGTATACAGTCATACTTCGATACTCTTTTGAATTATGTGTGTTCAGTGACAATTTCTTTGAAGCAGCTGTCTTGAAAGATTTGGACCCAAAGACATTCGTTAAGTGCAGATAAAGGTATAAGGGGCGTATAAATGTGTATAAGCCATTTGGAGCCCTTGGGGGCAGTAAAGACTCAGTCCAGTAAGCAAGTGAATCAAGCTAGCTTTAATCAGGTCACTCAGCAGAACGATGGACTATTACAAAAATTCGCCGACAATTAAATTCTCTGCTGACATATTCCCTGCTCATAGATTTCCCTCTATAAAGCTTTTTTTAAAACAAAGTATTGCCTTAATTATATTTTTAAAAAATGACTGAAACACGAGCATGAATTGTCAAATGGTCAGACCTTAAATTTCAAAGGCTTACGTTCTGGCTAATAAAATGATCTGTAGTTTTAAAAAAGATTCTTGAAACTGGGAATTTTTTTATCAAAGTTGTGTAATTTGACCTGAATCAGTGCATGAAATCTTGCGTTTCCTGTTTTTATCTCACCTATAATTGTATGGAACATGTGTTAAAATCTTCAATATGAATCGGTATATTTTAAAGAGCTACACAAACTGTGCACAAAGCAGTCAGTATAAAATGTGGACTGTGGACTGCGGACTGCGGACCTTGGACTGCGGACTGGGTATAAAACACGGACTTAAGGTATAAAATGTGGACTAGAAACTACAGACTGAGTGTAAAACACGGACTACAGACTAAAATGTATAGAAAAACAGCTTTAGAAACATCAAACTGAGAGAAAGGGATAGCTGACTAGCATAAAACAGTAGTCCCAGCTCCTTGTCTCACACACAAACATTCCTTTCGCTGGTCATGCAGTCTATTCTCCCCAACGTCAGCATCATGTGGATAAGGAGAGCATACAGCTGCATGGGCAAGGAAGGTTAATTATGCCGCTACTCAAGGCAACTGAAAATGAAACTCTGAATTTAATAAAAAGTTGGAGTTAGAGGAGGGTTGAATTCAGTTTATAGTTTTAAACCAATAGAAGATATGAAATTGAGAGGCACCGAATAAAAAAAGATAGTATTGGTGTTAGTTAGAGTAAAATTCTTATAGATGCCACAATCCCATTTCAAGGCCTTGGGAATATGAGGAAATGAAGAACCCAGATGAGAAGATCAATTAATAGAGGCATCCACAATGCAAAAAAGCTGTATTTAGTGGGGAGGGGTTACTCACCTATACGGGAATAATGACCAACATATATCATCCAACATTATATTCTAAGCGATGATGACATGATTTACACCTATGTAAACATGTGCATCGTGTTTGTGACCCCTGACATGAATGTTAGAGATCGAGACCATGAGGTCTAAAAATGAGTGTAGAAAATAGCATTTTGCAGGTCAGGCTCAGGATTTGAGGAACTGGGTGGCACGTACACCTCCACCACGAATTTCTAGGAGTATTTATAACTTAAACTCATAATAATAATAATTATTATTAACCAGTTTTGATGGGGAGGGGGGTAATTTCGGTAGGAGATGTTGCTCATCGGAGATGTGGGTTTATGAATGACAGTGGCACTTACATACTGTGAAAGGTATATACATATAATGATCCATAGTTTGACAAAATGGTTTGACACTAAAAGAGAACTTTTGAGTTCATGCAATCTTCAGATAATCATATTTTTGGTTTTAAAGAATTTTGTTTACAATTTGTTGACTGGTTAGTTTTCAGTTCAAATCATGGTGATTTAATAAGGGGGGAGCTTGAAAAAGAGTTGTGGCTTTTGAGAGGTTGTGGTAACAGTTAAGAGCTTCTCACTGAACCACATGTTTCAGTCTACATATTTGTGTATGTTAAGGGTGTTGGAGATAAGAAAAATATTATTGGCAGGGCCGTAAGTTAGGTTTTTTGTAACGTAAGGGGGGTTGTTATCGCGAGTCATGAAGGCACAGCCTTGTAGGGGGGTCCTCCCCCAGAAAATTTTCGAATTTGGAGGCTCCAAAACACCACTTTCAGCACTTGTCATGAGATATGTCTCGGAAAATCGACCTTGGATATGAAAATGTCATACTATAATCAAAATAACCGAGTCTGAAGAAAACAAATCCGATCACAGACTTGATTTGTCTGGCTCAACAGGTCCAGGGGGGGCCGGGGCAGCCACCCCCCGTGCCCCCCCACTAGCTACGCCTCTGATTGGATTGGTCAAAATAAAGCAAGATGCAAATATTCTCCAGTTAACTAAATGATAAGGCCTGGTGGAGAATAAGTGAATCAAATGGTCACATATTCTTATCAGGATGTGGTGCATGCATCATGGTAGAGCTCAGATCAATAATTAATAATTATTAAGTACTGAGCTTGATTCTGTACCCCAACCCCAGTGGGGATAAGGGAGTGCTCCCTAATAATGGCCTATATGGGGAGGCTCCGCCCAAAAGGGGTAATTTTTTCAGGCTTTAGGTATATGAAAGGGTAGGGTTTTCAGTAGTTGAAGTTTATGAAAGGGAAGGGAAATCTGTCATTTTGGCCTGAAAAAGACCCATTAAAGGACTAATAGATGCATTTTATGGCTATGAGAAAGTTGAGAAACGTTCTGGTTTGAGGTTATTCATATCTTAAAGAGAGTGCATTTACAGCAGTTGAAATGGATGTGAAATTCTAAACTGTAAAAGGGGTAGCATTTGTCAATAAGCTATACAAAAGGGGTACCTTTTCTGCCAAAAATGGTTTATAAAAGGTTAAGGGGTTGTACCCTGTGGCAGAGCCTCCCTGTGAAGCTTTGTTGGGTACACCCACCCCCCTTCCAGGACCCCACCCCTAGCTTGTAAGTTGTGAGGGTATTTAATTTTTGCCAGATCATGACAAAATATAATAATTATTATGGCTATATCATTCACAATATGTAATGTTTTTATTAACATACATTTTCTTCTGAGAAGCAGATTTAACCATGTGATTTGTGAAAGTGTTGGTACTGATTTTTTTTTCATCCTTTGTGTAGTTCATTGCTGAAAGGTGGAGCAAGCCACAAGGACGTGGACAACAACACTATTCTCAGAATTTACTACGAGTCAAGGGTATTAATGATTATTTAGGTATTCTGAGTAAAATACAAGTCAAAATCAAATTAACATTGTTCATGAATAAGAACTTTACAAAAATAATCACAAATTTAAATATTAAATGCTCCCAGCCCCTTACACTCCTAAAGCATGTAAAAAAGATCTTATTTTTTTTCCCATGGAACAAGCAATGTGCAAAAAACTATATATATTTTTCTGACTGCAGCAAATTTATTGTTGCTGTAAAATATTTGGGTCTTAAGAAATTTGTACAAATTAACAGACACCTCCAGGCCTGTCAAAGAATTGCTCAAGTCACTAAGTTTGAATGACAGACTGGTTGCGATCCTGCAGTGGCAATCCATAATCACATTTTGTCACAAAATCTGATTGGATCATCATGTGGTGAAGATTAGTGTAAAACCAGATTCTCTTAAGTATACTGATGAAGTAGTTGCATCTGTGAACTATAAACACAGAAATACAAACAAGAAAAGATTTATGCATGTTAACTTTGATAGTGAAGGGGTGCATTGGATAAGGCCTTATGTTATAAGTGACTCTTGACGTAATGTCAAATTTTCATTTTATGTCACAAGTTACAAGGCAAATATTTGAAAGGAGGTATCAATCACAGTCTACAAGAAACCATTCAGGGTTTTTTCCATACACCCCTTCATTATTTTAAGTGACAGTTTATAGTTTGCGTGGACACTGATTTTTTTATTGATTTTGTGTCTAGATGGTACTTTTTATTATGGGTGTAGGCAATGAGTTGTTTTTCTGTATGTTGTACTTGCTTCATTTTACTTCAGGACCAATATGTAAGTACTATACAGTCATGTGCACATCACGATTAAGATTTTGTTTGTTCACACCCCAGTTATGTGGACAAAAATTGCCTACAAATTACCAACATTTCCTGAGTTTGATTAAACTTTTTAGCCATATTATGTCCACACACAAATTCTCCAAACTCATCTCCATACATGTCCTTCAAGAATTAGTTGAGAGAATTTGATAGTGATCAAGGCATTTTCCATTTGGTGTAAATTTTAGTAATTCCCTTAACCTTTTCTCTTTATCATAAATGTATTGGTAATGTTTGGAGAAAATTAAGGTTGATCACCTTGGGACTTAATTAAGAGGGTTGATGTTAACAGCTTTTATTAGTACATATACAGTGGTTAAATTATAAGTGAATCAACTTTTCAGTTAGAGAGATTAAGAGTCACATTTATGGGAAACAGCAAATGTCAGATTCAAGTTGAGAATTTCTTAGAATAGAAAATAAGCAGATAAAAACTGTCCAGAACAACAACTTACAGATAAAACTGCCTTGAAAAAACTACTTATTTTTGAGTGGAAGTAATAAACAGTAAACAAAACTTGGTCATGTGGTACAAAGTCACATTTGCTTTTCGGCATAAACATGATCTTTAATCTCTTTATTAATATTAGATTGGTTTGGAAAATTAAATGCCCATACCCACCCCTTACCCACAAGGTAGAGGGTTACTGCAGGAGGTCAGGCGATCAAGGAGGGGGTCTCATGCAGAGCAAAACTTTCTGAAAGCAAAAACAGAAACTACATGCAGTATACAGGATCGAATTTCCAGGGGATCAAAAACCTTAATTGTACCAGGTAGTATGTTCATGAACTAGAAAAATTTAAAAGGCCTTACATAATTAACAGAAATAATGACAGTGTTACAATCCTGGGTATACTTCTCTATAATGACTGCATGTACTAGTGGACCGCTGACTCATTATCACCACTTCTTTTTTCTGGTCATTACCTGCTTTGAATGGTCCTTTATAGCTTATGCTTACCACATAATTGCTTTTAAATGAGTGTCCCTCCCGGAGCTCTGACATGAGAGGAAAGCATTTCAGCAGGATGGACTTATATATATATCTGTGTATATGTTTTTTTCAGTATCTGTTGGAGGTGTCAAGTTTAGTGCATTGGTTGCCTTTGCATGGCTGACTCTTCCCATATGTTTTCTCAAGCAAGTAGTCAGCATAATTCAACTGATTGTGGCATGCATCAATACAGCCCGCTTGGATGAGAGTGAAAGAGAACGCGTGAACAAATGACTAGCAATAGAGGCGGAGAAACCAAATGGAATTCTGCCATTATGGACACACTCAGACTGATGACAGTAATTTAATTATTTTATGTTCGTGCTGGAAATGTGAAAGCTGGCTTTTGCGTTAAATCCATTCCTCAAGATACTGACAGCAGAGTTAACGTGTGATTATTGGGTACATATTTCTTTCATTAGATGAGTATTTAATGCTAGTTATTTTATCCAAAGTGGGTAAACACATGTATTGCTGGGGTGTTTTGTATGCATTTCTTATAGGGTCACCAAAAAGCATTTGATTAAAGCACCTCAGTCAGTTGGGTGGGGGTTGGGGCGGGGGAGGGGGGCGGTAGGCATTGCTGATAATTCTTCAGTAGTTTGTTTTCATCATATTGAATATTGGACTCCTAAAAATGTAGTCTGCTGGTATATTTAAAAGGGTGTTTTGAATGTAAGACTTAATAAATGTCAGGAATGAATAATAAATGTCTAAGAGGGCAGAACCAGGAAACAAAGATTAGGAAGGGCTTTTGACTGCAAAACCTCTTTTAACGTTTTCCCCCTGAGGGGAATCCCATACTTATCGGGTGGGGGATGCTTGCCTCGTTAAGAGGAGTGAATTGCGTTTAGGCGGGGGGAGGGGGGGGGGGGGGGGGAGGGGAAATTGCATTTTGTGAAGGTACACACTGGCCTAGCTAGGGTTGTAGTAGATTATAATGGCCTGTATGTCAGATGCAGCATTAAACCTGTCCACAGACGTTTTTCTTTCTTTTTTTCGACTATTCGGAGCGCGAGAACGAGCGCGAAGCTTGCGGTCAATAAAGCCCCCGCGCTTTTTATTTCCATACGCGCGCTCGACGATCTCTAAAGAGTAAATCTGAGAGTAAATAGAGGGTCTGTGAACAGGCTAGATGCAGCGGAGAAAAGGTATTCTTCATTAAATAAAGAAAAATATTAAATAAATCTTATGCATGTTCAGGGAACACTGTTCGTTTATAAATCATTAAAAGCATTGAGGTTTAGGGTTCTTTGTCTTAATTATATTATACGCCACTAAGTATTTAGTGTATAGGTCTGGCAGCCACTTAGCCAATGCAATTCCTAGAATTTCATGGAGTTCAGGGGAAGGGGTTTATACATCTGGGCCGGGTTGTTCGAAGCTGGGTTAAGATAACCCAAGGTTATTGCGAAATTTGAACTCAGATATGAGAGTTTAGTTTAATTCTCTTTGCCTACAATTTGATGATTGGATACTCTAAAAAGAATACAGAAAATTATCCGAGAGAGTGCTTTTGATAAAAAGATAAAGAATCCCGGGTTAAAATTTAACCCCGGTTAGCGCTAACCGGCGTTCGAACAACTGGTCTCTGCCAAAAACCAAACCCTTTTCATATGCTACCGGGTTGCCGGTCTCCTTGGTAGGCGTTTGCACAGCAAAATGGCTAAAACTCGTTTAGTGTGTATGAGGGGTGAGGGTGAGGGGAGGGGGAAGGGGGTTGTTGTCTCCTTCTTAGATGGCCACCTTCCAGTCCACAGACTGACCCTAACAGATCCATGTGGTAGCTTGCCTGACAACCGTCTTGGGGAGGGGACGCTTACCAGTAGATTTTGAAATCTTTGTCCTTAAAAATGCGGTTTCTGGCATTAATCGGTGCTTTAACTGCTGAAACTCAAGCAAATGTTTGTGTCTTTTGTATTTTTTGCTTGGCTTTTGTCATAACGGCAGCTTTTAGGCATACCTTTGTTGCTTAATTTGGCGAGACAGTATTTCGCGGGGTTTTATTTTCGCAACTTCAATAGCCGAAATATGAAAAAAAAAGGCAAGAAATTTCGCGATTCAAGCATTCTCAACCTGGTCTTATAACTTGTCTAGATAAGTGAACTGGAACAAGCAAAATGCATTATTTGCAAATAAACTTCAAAAGTATTTGTCATTTGAAAATGAACTTTTAAGTTTATTACAACGTGGATAGGCTTTGCGTTTGTGTATTTTTCTATAGGTATTCTGTTTTTTTACTACCTTTTAATCCTTATTTTTTATGTGATTTGAATTTTCTATGTGGGCATTAAATTTCACGAGGACTTTTATTCGCGGGTCTCTAATTACAGCTCTCCTCTCGTAAGCAGACAGCTCTAGACTGCTTGCAGTCCGCCTTTTTTCTTAAAATCAGTATAGTTTTTGTGTTACCCAGCGCGATTGCAAACCACGACATTGTTATGACAATAAGGGATTGAGACGAGACGCCCTCATTTCTCGCGGCTCGTGGCCTAATTTGCCACTCGCGTGCTTAGGTTTCGCCCGCAGTAACTTTGCAAAGAAAAATAAGAGACTGCTCTACTTACGGCCACCTTTACAAAACCCCGTTTTTCTCAACTCCCATACAGACTGTAGTTTTGCATTCCCGTAAGCGACCAGCTCCAGTTACGGGCACCTTTTTCGCGTCCCGAGGGTGTCCGCTCACGGGCGCATCCGACTGTAGTACCAACAAGGCCGCAGTTTCAGTTTAGCGAGTTCGACCCGAACCACCGCCCCAGAATGACGTCATATAAGCTACCTCTATCTCCGTCATCCCTTCCTGATTAGCATGTGCCAGGCTCTCAGATAGTATAGTGGGGATGTATTAATCGAAGTTGGGGGGCGGTGGCGTCGTTTTTCGCATTTCTTTTTACTGAACGACTTTTCACCACTATCTTGGAGCATGGAACAGGCTACCCCTGATATATTAGGGACCTTAACCCTTTAAGTCCTAAGAGTGATCAGCATCAAATTTCTCCTTGTAATATCAATGCTTTTGTAAAACAGAGTGGGCATGAGAATTACAGACATGATCACACAAGATGAATTTGTTTGATGTTTTATCAACTTCTTCCCATTACTTCTGAAGAAAATGAATAGGGGCAACAAATGAGAATTCCAATTTTGATCTTGGGGTTTAAAGGGTTAAGATCCGACGACGGCAACGGCTACGGGAACGCCACAAAACCAATAGGTTTAGATTAGTAAAACAACAATTTTGCACGTGCATCACGCTTTTTTGTACATTTCTTTGTCGTCACTGCACGAAGTACGACGTGAAAATGCCTAATTTCATGATGTACAGAGGAAGTACACAAGCGACGACGAGATTTCCTCTCTCTTTCTGAACTTGGTTATGGTTGTTAGGAATTCACCTTTGGGAGGGTTCGCCTACATTTGACAAAGTTAGAGACTTGGAGTAATCGCGATGAAGATTGAAAGAACGCGAATTCACTTTTTCAGCGACGTTTTCACTGCCGTCGCCGTCATCGGATCTTAAGGTCCCTATTTAATTGAAGTAGACGTAATAGAACCTCCACTTCAGGTCTTCCTGTTTTTAAAGCGTCTTTAACTGCGATGATCTCCTCCTCTATCCTGCCGTGCAATATCTCTTTAGCCCGGAGCCCCATTACGGATGGGCTCCTGATTTAGCACACTAACAATATGGACACGTGTATTTTCCCTTTCATCCATGCGGGCTTAAACCGCTCTGAAGGGCGGTTTCAAAACAATGCGGTTTCGGTGACTGGATTCACTGGTTTCGTGTGGACCGAAGGCCGATTCGTGTAAAACTACTTTAGTAGGCGGTTTCAAAAATATCTGGGTCCGTGTGAACGTAGCCTAACTCTATTCCGTGTTTTATACTACTACATGAGAAATTACTACAATTTGATTGGCTTAGAGCAGTGGTATTTCAGCTTAATTTGAAATATCTACTTGTGAAAATTACAAACCTTTTGTGGGTAGTAGTATAAACAAATAATAGCATGATTTGTACGTGATATTTTTTTTGTTTTGTTTTTTTTTTGTTTTCTCTTTTATTTTATAATCACACTTGGCATTCACTTACAATACAGCTACACGGTACTTACTTACAACAAGACTTACGTTACAGTTTTACTACTTACTTGTTTGCTACTTACTTACATTAAAATACCTAAAACTAGTTTACAACAAACAAAAGGACTACTAAAGACAATAAATAAATGAAAAGAAAAGAAAAGAAAAGAAAAGAGAAGAGAAGAAAGAAAGAAAAAAGGCGACTCCTCTGCCTAAAACGGTTTTTAGCAATAACTACTTGAGATAACATTGACAACAATTGCTAATATTAATAAGAAATCATAAATATGCATAATTAGATGATTAATAAGATGATTAATAAACAGTGCGGAAAGATATGTGAAATAGATACTTTAATTAAGAAGTATTGGCGGTATGTCTAGCTCTCAATTGCACTTTGGCCTTGGTTCATTTACAGAAAATGGATACATAGGAAAGCTTTTATTTTACCAAAAGCTATGTAATGTTGAGAAGTGGACGTAAAGGATTCCATTTCTTAGAAGTTGCATCAATGTTGTTGGACTCTGTGTAAAACTGCGATTTAAGGGACATAAGAAAAGTTGTTAAATTCGGAATTTTCTGGTTGACCCTGCAGCTCCATATATAATATCGTGCCAGGAGAAAGCAGAAATTTAGTTGAAGTGAAAACTTGGAGGTGTCTGGTTTCAGGCCCAGATATACAGCAGTGTATTTTGGATAATCTATCGTTATTAGATTGATCTGCTTTAGTTTTTCAGTCAAATTTTCCCAAAAGGTGGCTACTATTGTACAGTTCCAGAAGAGGTGGATTAGGTTTTCGGGATGGATGGTACAGAAAGAGCAGTTCGGGTCCTGCTTTATATCGATTTTTGTTAGGAAAAGGTTCGTTGGTAAAATTCGGTGAAGGAATCTAAATTGAAAGTTTACAAGTTTTGTGCTTTTTGTGCACCTAGCTGCCAGACAATAGGCGCTGGTCCAGTCAGCAGAGCATCTTTGGTCGGATTTAATGCTGTCATTCCATTTCTCTTGGCTCTTAAACGGTACAGTGCTTTTGGAAGAGAGGAGCTTCTGGTATACAACTCTGTTCACTTTATCGTTCTTGAAAAAGTCTCGGAGAAGGTCTCGGGCAGGTATTGGGAATGTCTGTGCTACTAGGTTCTTTACTAAGAAAGTTAGTGTTATAATGGTGTCGAAGGGCAGAAATTAAGCCGAAGTACTTTATGGGTTGTATTTGTATTTTGTAAGTGCTGATAAAATCTGCTAGGGGGAGAAAATTCCGCGAGTCTGTCATTAAGTGGGCTACCTTAGTGATTCCATGCAGGAAAAGATGTTCGTAGAAGACCCGGGTCTGTTTTCGATCCTAATCAGCGAATTATGCCATATATGTTGTTCAAGAAATTGCTGCTCGGTTTTGATGTTAGCATCAAAATTAATTTCTGATCATATTTCTAAAATTTCTTGTAGAAATGGGTCTTGGACC